GTAACTATTTTCTAATTTCCCTTGTAATTTTCTCTCCCAACTAAGGGTTATTTAGAAGTTTGTTGTTTGATTTTTCAGAAATATTTGGGGATTTCCCAGATTTTGTTCTGAAATTGCATTATAGTTGAATTTTGTTATTGATAGAGAACATCCTTTTTACCAGTTCTTTTACGTCTTAAAGTTTGTTTTATGGCCCAAAATATGATCTAACTAGGTGAATGTCCCACACGCACTTGAGCAGAATGTATAATACAAAATATTGAGTGTTTGCTCCAGTGATTACAATGTATGTAGTGTACTTATGATATCTACTTAGTCATGTTAAATATAGGAAACTTTCCATAGCATAATTTTATTCATTTTGCTGTTGTTGTAATATAATATTGTAAATATAATATATTAATATATTACTTCTTTATATATTATAAACCTCACAATTAGGCCAGCACGGTGGCTCATGCCTGTAATCCCAGTACTTTGGGAGGCTGAGGCTGGTAATCACCTGAGGTCAGGAATTCAAGAGCAGCCTGGCCAACATGGTGAAACCCTGTCTCTACTAAAATTACAAAAGTACAAAAATTAGCTGGGCATGGTAGCAGGTGCCTGTAATCCCAGCTACTCAGGAGGCTGAGGCAGGAGAATCGCTTGAACCCAGGAGGTGGAGGTTGCAGTGAGCCGAGATTGCGCCACTGCACTCCAGCCTGGATGACAGAGAGAGACTGTCTCAAAAAAAACCCAAAATAAATAAATTTAAAAAATAAAAAATAAACTTCACAATTAAAAATTTTACAATTTTTGCTTTAAATATTTATTTGTCTCCAAAGAAATTAAAAGAAGAAAAGAAGTGTGTATAATTGTATTGAGGGTTCCCAAGACCACTCCAGGTTTGGTGATTGCTAGGTGGCCTCACTAGACTCAGCTTGTAGTCATACTCACAACTGAGATTTATTACGCTGAAAGCATATAAAGTAAAATCAGCAAAGGGAAGAGGATCATGGGACAATGACTAGAGGAAATTAGGCAGAAACTTCCAAGAGTCCTCTCCTAGTAGACTCACTCAGGACCTGCTTAATTCCTTCAGCAGTGAGTTGTGACAGCGTGCACAAAGTGTGGTCTACCAGAGAAGATTACCTGATTCTTAGAGTTCAGGGTTTTTATTGGAGGCTGGTCATGTAGACAAAATTTCAGCCACTGAAATTTCAGACTCTAGAAGCAAGTAAATGTTCAGCATAAACCATATTGTTTCTGCAAATAGTTTAGACACAAAGAGCCATCCTTATAACCTAGTGAAGTTTTAGATCAGTGTAGGGAAGTGTTTACACTTCCAGATGCCAGCAAAAGGTCAACCTTGCAAGCAGGCATTCCTACAGAGAGCAATCTCTGACCTGCTATGTTGACTCTTCTGCACAATAGTCTTTTATATCTATTCACATATTTACCATTTCCAGTAGTTTTTATTCCTTCCTACAGAAGCAAGTTACCCTTTAGTGTTATTGCCATTCCCACGAAGAACTTCCTTTAACATTTCCTGTAGTGTAGGTCTGCTGGTGATGAATTTTCTCAGATTTATCTGAAATGTCTTTGTTTCCTCTTCATTTTTGAAGGGTAGTTTCATTGGATATAGACTTCTGTGTTGAATTTCTTTTTTTTAGCCCTTTACTGTTTATTTCATTGTCTTCTGTTCTTTATTGTTCTTGATAGAAAGTTGGTGCCATTCGTACTTCTCTTTCCTTCCTATATATAATGTTGTATTAATCTGTTTTCACACTGCTATAAAGATACTACCTGAGACTGGGTAGTTTATAAAGGAAAGAGGTTTACAATTCCACATGGGAGGCCTCAGGAAACTTACAATCATGGCGGAAGGTGAAGGAGAAGCAAGGACCTTCTTTACATGGTGGCAGGAGAGAGAAGTGCAAGCAGGGGAAATGCCAGAGGCTTATAAAACCATCAGATCTTGTGAGAACTTACTCACTATCGTGAGAACAGCATGGGAAACACCCCCACGATCCAGTCACCTCCTTCCCTTGACACATGGGTTTACAATTCAAGATGAAATTTGGTTGGGGATGCAGAGCCAAACCATATCAAATGTGTTGTTTTTCTCTCATGGCTTTCAATATTTTATCTTTATTTTTAGATGTCACAAGTTTGCCCATTATGCACCTGGGTGTTGTTTGTTTGTTTTGGGGGACAGAGTCTCACTCTGTTCCCCAGGCTGGAGTGCAGTGGCACGATCCTGGCTCACTAAAAGGTCCGCCTTCTGGGTTCAAGTGATTCTCATGCCTCAGCTTCCCGAGTAGCTGGGATTACAGTCGTGAACCACTGTACCCAGCTTGTTTGTTTTTCATCCTGCTTGAGGTTTAGTGAACTTCTTGGATCTATAAGTTGATGTCTTTCACCAAATTTGAATTTTTTTAGCTGTTATTTTTTTTCAAATATATACTCCATCTCCTAATTTCTCCTGTCCTTGTAGGACTCTAATGACATATCTGCTAGACTGCTTGGTATCCATTCTCTGAGGCTATGTTTTTTTTTTGTTTGTTTGTTTGTTTTGTCTTTTTCATTTCTCTTCTTTGGATTGGATAATATCTAGATCTATCTTCAAGTTCACTGATGCTTCTGCCGTCTCCAATCTTCTTTTAATTCTTTCTAGTGAAAAAAATTTTTTTTTGAGACAAGAGTCTCGCTCTGTCGCTCAGCCTGTAGGGTGATGGTGTAGTCTTGGCTCACTACAACCTCCCTCTCCCGGGTTCAAGCAATTCTCATGCCTCAGCCTCCTGAGTGCTGGGATTGCAGGTGTGCACCACAATACCTGGCTAATTTTTGTATTTTTAGTAGGGACAGGGTCTCACCCTGTTGGGCAGGCTGGTCTGGAACTCCTGAACTCAAGTGAGCCACCCACCTTGGCCTCCCAAAGTGCTGGGATTACAGGCGTGAGCCACTATGCCTGGCCCCAATGAATTTTTCATTTTAGTTGTTATACTTTTAAGCTCTAGAATTTCCATTTGGCTCTTTTTTCTTTGGTTCTTTTCATAGTTTCTCTTCTGAGGTTCACTGTCTGCTTACTCATTATGTATATGTTTTCTTTGAAATTCCTGAACACATTTAAGCTGCATTAAAGTAATTGTTTAAATTCAGGTCATCTTAGGGTCTGTTTCTATTCCCTGCTTTTTCCCCCATTGTGGATCTCATTTTCATTTTGTTCTCATTGCTGCTGATTTTTTTTATTAAATAATGGACACCATAGATAATACATTGTAAAGTCTCTGGATTCTGTTGTATTTCTCTGAAGAATTTTTTTTTTTTTTTTTTTTTTTTTTTTGTAGCTGGCGTTTAACTTAACTGTGTTCAAAATTCCAAAGTCTATCTCCTGTTGTTGGCAACATTTATTCTTTGCTAGGTTTTATCTCATACATATGTAATTTCATTGTCAGCCAGGGAATTTGGTGGTCAGTCAAATATTTGACTGGGTTTCATATGCAGATTTTGGGGTACCTTCTGTGGCTTCTTCTCTTGCAAGATTTCATCTCTAACTTCTAATTTTCTGGTGATACAAGTTCTGAACATTTTGCTGTAGCTCCTCAAGCCAGTGAAGCTGTGACCTCCTGCCACTCCAGGAGGCACAGATTGGGTAGTGCTCTCAAACAAAAGTTAGACTTACACATCTCAGAGATATAATTCCTGTATTCCAAGGGTAGATTCTTCCAGATTCTACCTGTCTTTCTCCCTCCCCCAAATACTGTCAGACAGTATATTTTGTCTGGACTTTGTAATGTGTTATCTGCAGGGAGGTTACTCATGCAATGGGTTCCTAAAATGTACCATATCCATTTGCTGTGCTCAGACATTTCTGATTTTTTTTTTTTTTTTTTTTTTGAGACGGAGTCTTGCTCTGCCGCCCAGGCTGGAGTGCAATGGCGCGATCTCAGCTCACTGCAAGCTCCACCTCCCGGGTTCTAGCAATTCTCCTGCCTCAGCCTCCCAAGTAGCTGCAACTACAAGCACGCGTCACCACGCCTGGCTAATGTTTTTGTATTTTTAATAGAGACGGGGTTTCACCACGTTAGCCAGAATGGTCTTGATCTCTTGATCTTGTGATCTGCCTGCCTTGGACTCCCAAAGTCCCAAAGTGCTGGAATTATAGGCGTCAGCCACCGTACCCGGCCTCTGATGGTTTTTTAAGGGCCATAAAATAATCTGTTACCTGGAGACAGGTTGGAATAGAATGAGTAAAAGACTGGAGGTAGGGTGTCAGGCCATTGTAGCAGAGCAGGCAATAAGTATTGTGAAAATCTATGACTGTCACTATATTATGTTAATAGATCAAACATATAGTTGTTTTTTACAAAATATAAAATTTTATTTTCTTGTATAAATCTGCAGAAATAGTATAAAAATGAAAATGTGGTTGTCCATTGCTGGAATTATATGAATGAGATAGTATATAGCTTACTTTTAGTTAAGCTAACACAATTTTTTCTTTCGTACATCAAGAGTTTCATAAAGTGTTGATACTGCGGAGACCTTTCTTGTCTTCTTTTATTCATCCCTGAAAAAATCGTGTAAATGGTAAATGAGAACTGGAGAAAAAATTCAAAATGAAAAATTCTTTCATAAATAAATTTTTGTCCTCTTTTAAAGTAATTGAAGATACTTTTGGTCTCTTCCTGTCATTTTCTCGAGACTCAATTTGGCAAAACTAGAATTTATATAAGAAACTACAAATAAGTGACAGAGAACTCTAAAAACTTTTTGGCAACTACTGTATCCATAATGATTTAGTCATGTGACTTGAATTTATGGTACTTACCTTCCAAATGGTAGTGCTTGTTTGGGAGATCTTTGAGGTTCAAGAATGCTGAAACGGTGGAATATGGGCCAGGGAACTTTTTCTCTGGGTGTTACACTTGAAATTTAGTTCATTAATTTTAAGTTTGGATCGCAATGGGTTAATCTCTATGTCTTAAAAAGTTTTCAAATCTGTTCCCTTTTTTCAGGTTATAAATAAAGTTCATCTTAAGGCAAATCATGTGGTCAAGAGAGATGTTGATGAGCATTTAAGAATCAAGACTGTTTATGATAAAAGTGTTGAAGAGTAAGTACACCATTTTATTGTCTTTTTCATTATTAATCTAAATGTTAAATGTATTTTCATCTGTTACCTGAAGTTTTAAAAATTCATAGATAAAACTTAAAAAGGACTAGTGTAGCTTCAGAATTAAGCTGAAAATGCATTTTAGTCTGAAAATATGAAAATATGGGATATGATTAAAGCCTATACATTATGAATAATTTTCTTTTACCATCTCCCTTTCCTGGTAAATAATGAATAATTTAAACAGAACAAATGTGGATCTACTTGGACGTGGACAGTAACAGACCTGGAAGGTACTCTTCAATAAGTACTAGTGTTACGGGAAAGAGGTCCGCTTCAGACTCCAGGAGAGGGTTCTCGGAGCTCTCACGAGAAAGAATTAGAAGCAAATCCATACAGTAAAATGAAAGCAAGGTTATTAGAAAAGTAAAGTAATAAAAGAATGGCTACTCCATAGGCAGAGCAGCCCCAAGGCCTGCTGGTTGCCCATTTTTGTGGTTGTTTCTTGATTACATGTGCTACGCCTCTGAGAGGTAATTCTTATGTTTTTATGTCATTATTTTCAGGTTGCTCCCTGAGAAAAAAAATCTTGTAAAGGTATGTAATAAATACTCGTAACTTGAATTGGACACTTAAAATTTTATTGTATGCAAATTCTACTTCAGTAAAGAAAAATATATACGTGACTCTTGTGACTGAATAAAAGGTGTTGGTAGTGAAAGTGTTTATCATTTCACAAAAGGTGTCTTTGTGATGCACTCATGAAAACTTTGTTGGTATTTGGCATTAAATTAATCAGTCTCTTTTTTTTGCTTGCTTTCTCAAGTTTTTGGGGAGCAAATCATGCAGAGAATAGGGTGAAAAAGACAATTTTTGAAACACATTGAGAACACTGTTCTTTTGGTGGAAATGTTTATTTTCCTGAGAATTGATTGACTTGATAACCACATCAGATTTTTAACCGTATGGAGACACACACACCCACACACATACACACATGCACACAGGCACGCACGCACGCACATGCACGCACGCACACGCACATGCACGCACACACACGCAAACATGCGTGCAGACACATGCACACACGCGCACACACACACAAACATGTGCACACACACACGCACACACACGCACACACCCACGCATATACACGCACGCACACAGGCACACACACATGCACACACACAAAGCCAGCTCACCATGGGCCACAGAAGTTGGTGAGTTTAATGAAAGGTAAGATTTTCTTTACATAAACTATCTTACTGTTGGAATCATCTAAGTCAGTCCATCATTCATAGTAATCTAGATTAATAGTTGAGATATATTGCAGTTTTGTTAAAGGTGTAGTATTGAAGGAAGTTAATATTTCATTAAAAATTAAAAACAGTTGAGATAAATGTTTTCTGGCTTTCTATTTAAGTGGGACTAGGGAAAGAAATTTCTGCCTGGTGCTGTTTTCCCAAGCTGAACTAGAAAACGGGGGAAATTCTTTTCCTCCTAGGCTTGCTCTCTTCCTACGCCTTACCATACAACCTTGACTAGTATCTGTATTCCAGAATTATAAGGCTTTTTTCATTAATATGCTGTATTTGCTTGTTTAAAATATAATTTATATCTTCCTTATAATTCTGTTTCTTTTTTTAACTTTTATTTAGAACAAGCTTTTCCCACAAGCTATTTCTTATTTAGAGAAGACTTTTCAGGTCCGTCGACCTGCGGGCACCATCTTACTTAGCAGGTATGCCACATTCAACACAGATGGTTTTCTTCAGCCATTTAGTACTCTGCCTCTCCCTATCTATGAATATGACAAGGTATGAAACTTATACTATAATTTTATTATGCTTGTTCTTAGAGACCAAACTGCAAGGTATTTAAAAAGAATAAAAAAAGTGCCTGCTGGATAATCATTCTTTCCCTGACCTTTCATTGTGAGATGGTCTACTGCATTTTTTCTGGGTGTAGTTGTCCTCTGTTCTCCAGATCACCTTTTCCCCTCGTTCATGTGTATACAGTGTTGGCTTTATGAAGTATTTGGGTGTTTAAAAACACAAATCAAGAGGATTTCCTATAGAACCCGAATTCTTTCTTAACTACTTTCCTAACTAAAATAGTAACATTATTAATGAAGTAATATAGCAGCTACCAGTTGATTACCATGTTTTTAACTGCTATAAAATATTCTCTTTTTTGTCTTTAAACTTTGATGTACAAATGAACTGAAGACAATGTGCAACAAACCAATACCTCCGGAAGGAAAACGACCCTCACAGGTACTGCACCGGGGAGTGCGCCGCGCACACGAGATGCGGCCCCGTTGTTGTTCCAGAGGAACATCTCCAGGTATTTCGCCCTGCTCTTGGCAGTACTTTTACACTTGAGATTTTGAATTTGTGAGTGTCCCAAAATTTTTACAGATTCAAGTTCAAAGTCTAGTAGCTTCCTTGGTCTACAAAAAGTAATCACAGATGTGCTGATTTTATTCTTTCATTAGCTTTCAAGTGAGTTGAATGGTATTTTCTTTCTTCACTGCTTCCCAGAGACCTCCCTGCCCCATTTATCTTGGTCTGCTGAATCAGTTTAGCTTAGAACGTTTTCTTGTCTTCCAGAATATCTTTTAGCAAGGCATATACCTCAGTTTTTTAAAGGACAGTCTGACATCTCTTAAGATAAAAAATATGTATGCTTCAAGCCAACCTAGAAGTTTATTCCATAAAATACTAATGGCTATGTAATATATGTTTAAAGGTGTTCTTTGCAAAACTATAAATATGCCTATTTCGGGTATTAGTTTTGCCTATTAGGCTGTGGTATAACCATGTAGTGGAATACTTTGCAGTTGTTAAAAAGTGAAAGAGATCTCTATGTGCTGACTTGGAAAGATATTTAAGCTCTTACATGAAAAAAAAAGGTTGCAAATCAGTATGCACAGTTAGTCCATTTTATTTGAAAGTATAGAAACACAGACAATAAAAAATTATCAAGCAATCTGGAAGTATACACATGTTAAATCTGGATACATATAAAAATGTTAATCGTTTCTTTAAGAGATTGTTGGGGAAAGTGTTTTTCTTTTGTAAGTTCTGGAGATTTTTGTGATGTTCTGATTTCTCATATTGAACATATATTACTTATATCAAAAAAATAAAAAATTTAGGCTGGGCACAGTAACTTACACCTGTAGTCCTAGTACTTTGGGAGGCCGAGGCAGGCAGATTACTTCACTCCAGGAGTTTAAGACCAGCCTTGGCAACATGGTGAAACCCTGTCTCTACAAAAAATATAAAAAGTTAGCCAGGAGTGGTGGTGTGCACCTGTAGTCCCAGCTACTTGGGAGGCTGTGGTGGGAGGATTGCCTGAGCTGGGGATGTGGAGGTTGCAATGAGCTGTGATCTTCTCACTGTACTCCAACCTGGGTGACAGAGTGAGACCCTGTCTCAAAAATAAATAGATAAATAAGAATATCTCAGACTATGCCTAAGCTAAGCTATTGCTTAAAAAAAAAAACTAGAAGGTCGGGCACAATGGCTCCCACCTGTAATCTCAGCACTGAGGGGGCTGAGGCGGGCGGATCACCTGAGGTCAGGAGTTCGAGACCAGCCTGGCCAACATGGCGAAACCCTCTCTCTACTAAAAATACAAAAATTAGCCGGACATGGTGGCGGTGCCTGTAAACCCAGTTCCTCAGGAGGCTGAGGCAGGAGAAGCTTGAACCCAGGAGGCAGAGGTTGCAGTGAGCCCAGGTCACACCACTGCACTGCAGCCTGGGCGACAGAGCAAGACTTCGACTCCGGCTCAAAACAAAACAAAACTAAAGTAAACTAAACAAATAAATAAGAATACAGCAATATTGTCATTAACCATAGTCACTGTGCTTTACAATAGATCTCTTGAACTTATTCCTTCTAACTATAAACATGTATTCTTTGACCAGCATTTCCTTAGCTCCCACTCCCTAAAGTAATTGATTTTAAAAATCATAAATGCATGTGTTAGAGAAGGAAGAATAAACAATGTGTATTTTCTATTAAATGAAATGAGAATTTGTTGTTTTTTTTCCCCTCTCTACAAGCATTGCTTACACCTTAAAATAATAATTTACTGATTTTTCTGTTTCTAATTTGGAGATTATGATTACTTGGGAATTTTGATAGAAGTAGCTTTCAAAAAAGTGACCATTACAGAGGCAAATAAGATTTGCTGGGCAGGGCGCCATGACTCATGCCTGTAATCCCTTAATCCCTGCGCTTTGGGAGGCCAAGATGGGAGGATTGCTTGAGGCCAGGAGTTCGAGACCAGCCTGGTCAATATAGTGAGACCCCGTCTATATATATTTAAGAAATATTTTAGGCCGGACACGGTGGCTCACGCCTGTAATCTCAGCACTTTGGGAGGCCAAGACAGGCAGATCACAAGTTCAGGAGTTCGAGACCAGCCTGGCCAACATGGTGAAACCCTGTCTCTACTAAAAATATAAAAATTAGCTGGGCATGGTGGTGGGCGCCTGTAATCCCAGCTACTCGGGATGCTGAGGCAGGAGCCGAGCCGAGATCACGTCACTACACTCCAGCCTGAGTGACAGAGTGACTCTGCCTCAAAAAGAAAATGTTTTTAAGAATAAAAGATTTGCTTGGAAGATTAGAAACAAGGGGAGATGACTCCTACCCTATATTATTTGAATTTTTAACAAGATGTGAATTACATTATAATAGGAAATATATTTCTATTAGATAAATTTTTTTTTTACCATTTAGTTTAGAATTAATTATAGATTCAAAGAAAGTTGCAAAAAAAAAAAAAAAAGTTTCTTTTAGGGAAATCCCTTCATCTAGTTTCAGAGTTTTAAAACCTTTTATATTTCTGTCTTTTCAGCATCCTGTTTGGTTGGCCTTCCTTTGTCAATACCAATTATTTAATTGAAGTTATAGGTTTATGATCATTTTATGTAAAGTGGACATTTCAGTAAAATAAATTCAGAATTAGAGCTAAGTATTGAGTGGACAGGGAGGTATGGATTTTGATAAAAGTTTAGGGATAATAAAGATTAAATTGTACTGTGTTTATAGTGTAGATTTTACTGTAAGATTAAATGCCACTACATCTAACTTTGTGTCTGTTCTGGCTTTCTGGTGTCCCCCGTGGGTGCAGCAATGCAGGGTCTACCGCGGTGGTAAGTGGCCTCACCGAGCAGTGGGTGTGCCAGACCAAGAAGGCATCTCAGACGCAGACTTTGTTCTTTATGTTGGTGCTCTGGCCACCGAGAGGTGCAGCCAAGAAAACATCATCTCTTATGCAGCCTATTGTCAGCAGGAAGCAGACATGGACAGGTAACTTTCCTCTGGGACTGAGTTTCCAAGATCGAATGTGGATTTTAAGCAAACTGTTTTTAGGAAGCAGACATGACAGTAACTTTCTCTGGGCTGAGTTTCCAAGATCGAATTGGAACTTTTAAAGCAAACTGTTTTTAGGAAGCAGACATGGACAGGTAACTTTCCTCTGGGACTGAGTTTCCAAGATCGAATGTGGGAACTTTTAAAGCAAACTGTTTTTAGGAAGCAGACATGGACAGGTACTTTCCTCTGGACTGAGTTTCAATCGTGTGGAATTTTAAAGCAAACTGTTTTAGGAAGCAGACATGGACAGGTAACTTTCCTCTGGGCTGAGTTTCCAGATCGAATGTGGGAACTTTTAAAGCAAACTGTTTTAGGAAGCATGAAGTATTTCCTGCTGAGTCAAGATGAATGGGAACTTTTAAAGCAAACTGTTTTTAGAAGCAGACATGGACAGGTAACTTTCCTCTGGGACTGAGTTTCCAAGATCGAATGTGGGAACTTTTAAAGCAAACTGTTTTTAGGAAGCAGACATGGACAGGTAACTTTCCTCTGGGACTGAGTTTCCAAGATCGAATGTGGGAACTTTTAAAGCAAACTGTTTTTAGGAAGCAGACATGGACAGGTAACTTTCCTCTGGGGCTGAGTTTCCAAGATCGAATGTGGGAACTTTTAAAGCAAACTGTTTTTAGGACACTGCAGGACTGAGTTTCCAAGATCGAATGTGGGAACTTTTAAAGCAAACTGTTTTTAGGAAGCAGACATGGACAGGTAACTTTCCTCTGGGACTGAGTTTCCAAGATCGAATGTGGGAACTTTTAAAGCAAACTGTTTTTAGGAAGCAGACATGGACAGGTAACTTTCTCTGGGAGAGAGAATGTGGGGAACTGAGGAGAGACATGGACAGTATTCCTCTGGGACTGAGTTTCCAAGATCGAATGTGGGAACTTTTAAAGCAAACTGTTTTTAGGAAGCAGACATGGACAGGTAACTTTCTCTGGGATGATCGAATGTGGGAACTTTTAAAGCAAACTGTTTTAGGAAGCAGACAGGTAACTTCTCTGGGACTGAGTTTCCAAGATCGAATGTGGGAACTTTTAAAGCAAACTGTTTTTAGGAAGCAGACATGGACAGGTAACTTTCCTCTGGGACTGAGTTTCCAAGATCGAATGTGGGAACTTTTAAAGCAAACTGTTTTTAGGAAGCAGACATGGACAGGTAACTTTCCTCTGGGACTGAGTTTCCAAGATCGAATGTGGGAACTTTTAAAGCAAACTGTTTTTAGGAAGCAGACATGGACAGGTAACTTTCCTCTGAGGCTGAGTTTCCAAGATCGAATGTGGGAACTTTTAAAGCAAACTGTTTTAGGAAGCAGACATGGACAGGTAACTTTCCTCTGGGACTGAGTTTCCAAGATCGAATGTGGGAACTTTTAAAGCAAACTGTTTTAGGAAGCAGACATGGACAGGTAACTTTCCTCTGGGACTGAGTTCCAAGATCGAATGTGGGAACTTTAAAGCAAACTGTTTTTAGGAAGCAGACATGGACAGGTAACTTTCCTCTGGGACTGAGTTTCCAAGATCGAATGTGGGAACTTTTAAAGCAAACTGTTTTTAGGAAGCAGACATGGACAGGTAACTTTCCTCTGGGACTGAGTTTCCAAGATCGAATGTGGGAACTTTTAAAGCAAACTGTTTTTAGGAAGCAGACATGGACAGGTAACTTTCCTCTGGGACTGAGTTTCCAAGATCGAATGTGGGAACTTTTAAAGCAAACTGTTTTTAGGAAGCAGACATGGACAGGTAACTTTCCTCTGGGACTGAGTTTCCAGATCGAATGTGGAACTTTTAAAGCAAACTGTTTTAGGAAGCAGACATGGACAGGTAACTTTCCTCTGGGACTGAGTTTCCAGGATCGAATGTGGGAACTTTTAAAGCAAACTGTTTTTAGGAAGCAGACATGGACAGGTAACTTTCCTCTGGGACTGAGTTTCCAAGATCGAATGTGGGAACTTTTAAAGCAAACTGTTTTTAGGAAGCAGACATGGACAGGTAACTTTCCTCTGGGACTGAGTTTCCAGATCGAATGTGGGAACTTTTAAAGCAAACTGTTTTTAGGAAGCAGACATGGACAGGTAACTTTCTCTGGGACTGAGTTTCCAGATCGAATGTGGAACTTTAAAGCAAACTGTTTTAGAAGCAGACATGGACAGTATTCCTCTGGGATGAGTTTCCAGATCGAATGTGGGAATTTAAAGCAAACTGTTTTTAGGAAGCAGACATGGACAGGTAACTTTCCTCTGGGACTGAGTTTCCGAGATCGAATGTGGGAACTTTTAAAGCAAACTGTTTTTAGGAAGCAGACATGGACAGGTAACTTTCCTCTGGACTGAGTTTCCAGATCGAATGTGGGAACTTTTAAAGCAAACTGTTTTTAGGAAGCAGACATGGACAGGTAACTTTCCTCTGGGACTGAGTTTCCAAGATCGAATGTGGGAACTTTTAAAGCAAACTGTTTTTAGGAAGCAGACATGGACAGGTAACTTTCCTCTGGGGCTGAGTTTCCAAGATCAATGTGGGAACTTTTAAAGCAAACTGTTTTTAGGAAGCAGACATGGACAGGTAACTTTCCTCTGGGACTGTTTTTTAAGTTTTTTGGTTTTTGTGTTTTTGGTGCGCTGACAGGTTTTCTCTGGGCTGAGTTCGATCATGTGGGAACTTTTAAAGCAAACTGTTTTTAGGAAGCAGACATGGACAGGTAACTTTCCTCTGGGACTGAGTTTCCAAGATCGAATGTGGGAACTTTTAAAGCAAACTGTTTTTAGGAAGCAGACATGGACAGGTAACTTTCCTCTGGGCTGAGTTTCCAAGATCGAATGTGGGAACTTTTAAAGCAAACTGTTTTTAGGAAGCAGACATGGACAGGTAACTTTCCTCTGGGACTGAGTTTAAGATCAATGTGGAATTTAAAGCAACTGTTTTTAGGAAGCAGACAGGAAGGTAATTCCTCGGAGATCAAGAAATGGAAAGAAACTTTTAAAGCAAAGACAGTAATTCTAACAAGATCGAATGTGGAACTTTTAAAGCAAACTGTTTTTAGGAAGCAGACATGGACAGGTAACTTTCCTCTGGGCTGAGTTTCCAAGATCGAATGTGGAACTTTTAAAGCAAACTGTTTTTAGGAAGCAGACATGGACAGGTAACTTTCCTCTGGGACTGAGTTTCCAAGATCGAATGTGGGAACTTTTAAAGCAAACTGTTTTTAGGAAGCAGACATGGACAGGTAACTTTCCTCTGGGGCTGAGTTTCCAAGATCGAATGTGGGAACTTTTAAAGCAAACTGTTTTTAGGAAGCAGACATGGACAGGTAACTTTCCTCTGGGACTGAGTTTCCAAGATCGAATGTGGGAACTTTTTTTTTTAAAGCAAAACTGTTTTTAGTGGTAAGCATGAAAAGCAGACTGACAGGTAACTTTGACTGTTTCAATCAATTAATTTAAAAATTTTTTAAAAAAAATAATCTTGATAAATAAGTGGAACTTTAAAGCAAACTGTTTTAGGAAGAGAATGACAGGTAATTTCTCTGGGCTGAGTTTCCAAGATCGAATGTGGGAACTTTTAAAGCAAACTGTTTTTAGGAAGCAGACATGGACAGGTAACTTTCCTCTGGGGCTGAGTTTCCAAGATCGAATGTGGGAACTTTTTTAAAGCAGGGTTTTCCAAGATCGATGTGGTTAAAGCAACTGTTTTTAGGAAGCGATGGACAGGTAACTTTCCTCTGGGACTGAGTTTCCAAGATCGATGTGGGAACTTTTAAGCTTTTTAGGAAGCAACATGTTTTTTTATTTTGTGGTTTAAGAATTTTTTACAGGTAATTTCTTGGGATTTGCCAAGATTGCCTTTTCCTGGGTAAGACAGGAATAGCATGCTGCCTGGATTTGGAGTGTGGTTAGGAGGCCGTGATTAGACTGTTATTAATGGGATAACCCAAGTTTTTAGTCAAAGTGAAAGAAAAGTGAAGCACTTCGTTTGACTTTTCTCCCTGCGGTTCCTCTTCCATTTTGAGCCTGTTGTTTTTGCCAAAATTCCAAAGAAAAAGTCTACTGTCAAGTGAGCCAAGTACGGTGGCTAACACCTGGAATCCCAGGTCTTTGGGAGGCTGAGATGGGAGGATCACTTCAGCCCAGGAGTTTGAGACCAGCTTGGGCAGCATAGTGAGACCTCATCTTGACAAAAAATAAAATTGGCCAGGCATGGAGGCACACACCTGTGGTCCCAGCTATCAGGAGACTGAGGTTGGAGGATTGCTTGAGCCTGAGAGGTTGAGGCTCAGTGAGCTGTGATCATGCCACTGCACTCCAGCCTGGGCAACAGAGCGAAACCTTGTCCCCCACAAAAAAGAAAAAACAAAATGGCTGGGCACAGTGGCTCACACCTGTAATCCCAGCTCTTTGCGAGGCTGAGGCGGGTGAATCACTTGAGCTCAGGAGTTTGAGACCAGTCTGGGCAACATGGTGAAACTCTGTCTCTACAAAACACACAAAAATTAGCCAGGCGTGGTGGCGTGCGCCTGTAGTCCCAGCTACTCAGGAGGCTGAGATGGGAGGATTGCGTAAGCCTGGGAGGCAGAGGCTGCAGAGAGCTGTGATTGTGCCACTGTACTCCAGCCTGGGCCACAGAGCCAGACCCTGTGTCCAAAAAACAATAATAATAATAATAATAATAATAATAATAATAATAATGGTAAGTCCACTGTCAAGAGAATTTTCTTTGCAGGTGACTACCACTCTAAGGAAACAATTTGAACTTTAATTTTAGGACCTATGTGCTAAAACTGTTAAGAAAGGTGTTAATAATGACTATTCATCTAATTGTCGTATCATTTGTTATATGTAATTCACTTAGCTAAATATCACTTAGAAATTCAGAGTTCTCTTTATTTACAAAAGATTTCAAAAACTTTCCCGTGAAGCAGCTCAGCTTTGAAATGAAAAGTTATATATGCAGAAGATTGCCTGTCACACACCAGACAAGTCAATTAAAGGCAGCAGGAATTGCCATATGTCTCAGAATAGGTTGTATGTAACATTCTCAAATCTAGGTGAGATTAGATTTGAGATTAGCTGACTTCAAAGGGAGTCAGCTAGTCTTTTTTTTTTTTTTTTGTGACAGAGTCTTGCTCTGTCACCCAGGCTGGAGTGCAATGGCAGGATCTTGGCCCACTGCAACCTCTGCCTTCTGGGTTCAAGTGATTCTCCTGCCTCAGCTTCCCAAGTATTTAGGACTACAAGTGTGTGCCACTGCACCCAACTAATTTTTGTATTTTTAATAGAGACAGGGGTTTCACTAAGTTGGCCAGGCTGGTCTCGAACCCCTGACCTCAGGTGATCTGCCTGCCTCGGCCTCCCAGAGTGTTAGGATTATAGGTGTGAGCCACTGTGCCTGGCCTCAGCTCGTGTTTTGACTGATAGATGGATGTTTAACACCTCAGCAATGGTCCTTTGATACATATGAATTAGTTATACTAACTTCTCCTAGATTTGTTAGAAGAAAAAGCAGTATCTTCAGGTTTTTTTTTTTTTTTTTTTTTTTTGAGACGGTGTCTCGCTCTGTTGCCCAGGCTGGTGTGCAGTGGCGTAATCTCAGCTCACTGCAAGCTCTGCCTCCTGAGTTCAAGTGATTCTCCTGCCTCAGCCCCCTGAGTAGCTGAGGCTACAGGTGTGCGCCACCCGCCTGGCTAATTTTTGTATTTTTAGTAGAGACAAGGTTTTGCCATGTTGGTCAGGCTGGTCTTGAACTCCTGACCTCTGGTGATCCACCTGCCTTGGCCTCCCAAAGTGCTGGAATGACAGTCATGAGCCACTGCGCCTGGCCTTAAGTTCTTCTTTTTCAAGAAAGTGAAACCTTCCTTCACAATTGCTATATTGCATTAATTCATTTCGTGAATATTTGAGTGGCCAACAGACGAGGTAAACAAAATACAGATGTGTACCTGCCTCATGGAACTTACGGATTGCAGAGGGAGACAGGTATTAAATGTTCCTGCAAATAAATATGTGATTTCAAAGTACGATAAATACTTTGTAGAAAATAAATAGAGTGTTGTAACGTAGAGGAGAATAAAAGAGAAACACCTTGTGGATCTATTGAGCAAGGAAGACCGCTTTGAAAAAGTGAAACGTTAGCTGAACATTGATAGGCTGTTGCCAAATACAGAGATGTGGGGAGAGCTCGCGAAGGCAGAAGCCATGTGCGCCTGTTGCTTCAGGAGCCCCCTCAGTGGACACTGTTGGGGGACAGGTGCTTGGACAGGCAGACAGGATTGTTTTCTTCTAAGTGCTGTAGGAAGCCCCTGAAGGGTTTTAAGCCTGGAAGCGAAATCCATTTTGTATTTTAGAGGTCACTGTGGCAATTTTTAAATAAATGAATTGTATTCATACTTTCTCTAATTCTAAGTCTATTGCTATTTCCTATGAAGAAAATATACAATATTTAACAATTTAAATAATATAAATGTACTTTGTAAATAGGCAGTTATACTTTGATGAGCTTTGTGGTATTTCTATGTAAAATGTTAAGACAGTGGTAGGAGAACTGAGCTTGGGGTTCATCAGCAATGTTCATTGGCCACAGCTTTGGAAAGACAGGGAGGCGCATGGTGGAACTGAATTACTTTGGACTCTTGAGTCCTAGTCTGCCTTTGGACTTTCAGGTTCTAGGCACAGAGAGAGATGCAGAAGTGTGTAGGTTCTAAAGGGTGTAGAATTTGGAAGAAGGCGATGGGAAGGTAGAAATATTTATGTGAATGTAGGCAGTGTTGGAGCAGGAGAAAGGGAATAGCAAACAGATAAGAAGGGTCAGCGACTTTCAGCAACTTGAACCATTCACTTATTGCCCCATTTGATAACTGTTTTCCTCTCTACCTGCTTGTCTCTGTGCCCATAGATATACTGAAATGCTGAAGTCAAATATGGATTTTGCAAGTAAAATAGTGTTGGAATTTGAGCCTTTCAGTTCATTCTTTTTTGGGTATTATATTGATATATTTCAAAAATTCGCATTAAAGTATAGTCAACTGTGTCCTTTTGTGGAAACAGGTATTGATTTGCCATGCCATAGGAGGGCAGAGGATACATGTCTTAAAAGTAAAAGATAGTGAAGGTACAAAATTACATTTGATATTTTGCGAAGATTTTTCTGTCCTTGAGCAGTATTTGATGGAGAAGTAAATGTTAATAAATATTGTTCTGGAATATAATTTAAAAATTCAATGTCTATTTTGACAGGCCAATAGCAGGATATGCTAACCTGTGTCCAAATATGATCTCTACCCAGCCTCAGGAGTTTATTGGGATGCTGTCCACAGTGAAACATGAGGTTATTCATGCCCTGGTAAATTCTACCGTTACTGTTCTTTCCTTCATGCCCTGATTTTCTGCTTAGTATGTTCTCATTTTTATACATATATTCCATTTTAGGATGATGTAGATTCCTAGGTTCATGTTCAATAAAAATACAAAAATTAGCAGGGCATGGTGGTGTGCACCTGTGGTACCAGCTACTTGGGAGGCTGAGGTGGGAGGATGGCTTGAGCCCAGGGAGCTTGAGGTTGCAGTGAGCCAAGATTGTGCCACTGCACTCCAGCCTGGTGATAGAGGCAGACCTTGTATCAAACAAACAAACAGAAAGATTTATAAAGCTTTTTCCTCTTTTAAAATTCTAAGATTGAAGAATTAACAATACTGAAAGGCCTATGAAAGTATATAGATATGGCAGAGCCCTGGGCTGCTGCCACCGTTTTTTGTTTGTTTTTTAAGACCCCATCATGGCCCACTGTAGCCTCAACCTTCTGGGCTCAAGTGATCCCACCTCAGCCTCCCAAGTAGCTAAGACTGCAGATGTGCACTACACTCGGCTAATTTTTTTTTTTTTTTTTTGTGGTAGAGATAAGGTCTCGCTATGTTGCCCAGGCTGGTCTCAAACTCCTGTGCTCAAATGATCCTCCCACCTCAGCCTCCAGAGTAGCTGGGACCACAGGCACGCACCACCATGCCCTGCTAATTTTTGTATTTTTAGTAGAGATGGGGTCTCGCCATGTTGCCCAGGCAGGTCTTGAACTCCTGGGCTCAAGTGATCCCCCCACCTCAGCCTCCCAAAGTGCTGGGATTACAGGCGTGAGCCACTGCGCCTGGCCCTTCGGCTGCTGCTGCTGATAACCGTGTGAATATCCTTATAGGGAGGCAGTAGTAATGACTACCACTTCCTCAAATTAAAGGAAAGGAAATAGTCAGCTAAATACTTTTTTACATGTATATTTGAACACATACGAATGTTTATCTTCCTAGTAATTTTTAATTAAATTTATCTGTTGTAGGCAAGTGTCAGTCTTGGCCATGCATCTCAGTGTGCTGCTTCCATCTTTTCAGCTCTGGTCCAGCTCTTGTTCGGAATTGACACCTGATAGCTGATACCTTCTCAAAAAAGGAAGAAGGGCCGGGCGCAGTGGCTCTCGCCTGTAATCCTAGCGCTTTGGGAGGATTCTTCTATATATATAAGAAGGCCAAAATAACTTTAAAATGCAGACTGACTTTGAGAACCATTTCATAATGTACGCACACACACACCCACACAGCAGACAGGAATTAAAAACACAGCAGTTGCTGCTCTTTATGGTTTTAAAACTCTAATGGTGCCTGGAAATATAATTATAGGACAGTAATTGATGTTTATAGTATTTATACTGAATATAAATGTAAAATATATAATGTGTTTTAGAAAATTTCTCGTTAGAGGCCGGGTGCGGTGGCTCAAGCCTGTAATCCCAGCACTTTGGGAGGCCGAGACGGGTGGATCACGAGGTCAGGAGATCGAGACCATCCTGGCTAATACAGTGAAACCCCGTCTCTACTAAAAAACACGAAAAACTAGCCGGGCGAGGTGGCGGGCGCCTGTAGTCCCAGCTACTCGGGAGGCTGAGGCAGGAGAATGGCCTGAACCCGGGAGGCGGAGCTTGCAGTGAGCCGAGATCCGGCCACTGCACTCCAGCCTGGGCCATAGAGCGAGACTCCGTCTCAAAAAAAAAGAAAATTTCTCGTTAGAAATATTTACCTCAAGTAATTAGAATTTAAAATTTATAAATATGGAACACTAAATTGTTGTTCAATTCCAACGTATGAGAAATTCCTACGGAAGCACTAGTGTGGGGCTTCTATGAACCAGTTAGTATCAGTGCTCTCCTTTGATCTCAGGCCTGTAATCAGCCTTGACATTTTTCACTTGAAGACATTTTAAACTTTTTCTTATAGGGTTTCTCTGCTGGGCTGTTTGCATTCTACCATGACAAAGATGGAAATCCTCTCACTTCAAGATTTGCGGACGGCCTCCCACCTTTTAATTATAGGTATTTTTGTTGTTGTTGTTCTTGCTTTCCTCTTTTAGGAGGGTGCTAAGACTAGAATCTGAGAATCACAGCATATTAGATGCCATAAATAATAATGTCTTCATGGCAAACCTAAGGAAATTGTAGATATTAAAACAACATAGGATATAAGAGGCCATTTTATGGAAAACATAACTTGTGAGATAGGCAATATTATATAATGGTGTAAGTAAGGAGGAGAGAGATACCCACACACAAGGACCATTCTTAAGCTGATAATTTGCAGTGCCTGCTTGCATTGAGGATATTCCTCAAAAGCATCATACCTTCCAGCCAGGCACAATGACTCATGGCTGTAATCCCAGCACTTTGGGAGGCCAAGGTGGGCTGATTGCTTGAGCCCATGAGTTCAAAACCTGCTGGGCAGCATGGCAAAACCCTGTCTCTACAAAAAAATACAAAAATTAGCCGGGCATGGTTGCATGCGCCTGTGGTCCCAGCTACTTGGGGTGCTGAGATAGAAGGATCAGTTGAGCTCAGGAGGTTGAGGCTGCTGTGTGCTGTGATCATGCATCTGCACTCCAGCCTGGGTGACAGAGCAAGACTGTCTCAAGGAAAAAAAAGAGAAGCCTTCCAGTAAAAATGAAGATAATGGAGTAAGACGTTCAGTTGTTACAGATGTAAAGAATTGGATTTGGCTTTAACTGTATTTGGGGAAACTGTTAATCTTGAAGTATGAATGGTAAAGAGAGATTGGAGTGATTAATAAGGTAAAAGCTGTTTATTTTATTTTTTATTTTTTGAGACGGAGTCTCCCTCTGTCGCCTAGGCTGGAGCGCAGTGGCCGGATCTCGGCTCACTGCAAGCTCCGCCTCCCGGGTTCACGCCATTCTCCTGCCTCAGCCTCCCGAGTAGCTGGGACTACAGGCACAGCCACCGCGCCCGGCTAGTTTTTTGTATTTTAGTAGAGACGGGGTTTCACCGTGTTGGCCAGGATGGTCTCGATCTCTTGACCTCGTGATCCGCCCGTCTCAGCCTCCCAAAGTGCTGGAATTACAGGCTTGAGCCACCGCGCCCGGCCAAAGCTGTTTATTTTCTGGCTGGCTTTGTTCACTGCTTATGTGTAAACATTGCCTTGCCATGGAAAAACAGGAATTAAAAATAATTTCTCTAAGGCATGGGTACATGAACAGATACGTGATAACAAATACAACAAAATGTTAATTACAGAATCTAGGTGAGCTGGTTATTGATTATAAGGGTGTTTGTTAAACAATTCTTTTAATGTTTTGCATGTTTGAATTTTTTTTTTTATTTGAGACAGAGTCTTGCTCTGTCGCCCAGGCTGGAATGCCGTGGCGCGATCTCCGCTCACTGCAAGCTCCGCCTCCTGGGTACACGCCATTCTCCTGCCTCAGCCTCCCCAGTAGCTTGGATTACAGGCGCCTACCACCTCGCCTGGTTAACTTTTGTATTTTTAGTAGAGACAGGTTTCACCATGTTGGCCAGGCTGGTCTCAAACTCCTGACCTCAGGTGATCCGCTGACCTCAGGTGATTCGCCTGCCTCAGCCTCCCAAAGTGCTGGGATTACAGGCATGAGCCACCACACCTGGCCTATGTTTGAAATTTTTATGAAACAGTATTGGAAAAGAAAACCGTCTTTATGTTTTCTGTTGTTTTGCTGAGAATGAGAAATTTATAGGGAAAATGGTAGAAGTAGTCTAGGGAATAAGCCAGAAAAAAAAAATGACTTAGGTTACAGGGAAAAATAAAAATTGATGTCCATTGTAATTTTCTATAATAGATAAATATGTTACTTTTATAGCAGTGCTTTTATGTATGCAGGATAGATTTCCCAAACTGGGATTGCCGATTTAAAATCCGTTTACACTATAAATTTTAATAGAAACTGCCATGTTACATTTTTTTTTAAAAAAGGTATAGCAAAGCACATTCCCACCAGATGTGTATGAGTGCTCTTGTTACCACTTTATCAGTATTGGATATTATAGATCTTTTTTATTTTTTAAGCCCAATTTGATGGATTAAAAGATGGTATCTCATTGTTGTATTTCCAGGACTATAGTGTGGTTTTAGCCATTGGCATTTTCTCTTTGTACACTGCCTATTTATTTTCCTTGTCCAGTCTTTTAGGTTAATTTTCCCTTTCTAATCACGTTGTAGAAGTTCTTTATAAATTAGAGATATTACTCCTTTTACATGCTTATTATAAATATTTCTCCTGGTTGTTTATTTTTTTACTTCATTTATCATACTTTTGCCATGTATAGAAAAGTTTTTAAGTTTTTTATCATTAAATTTATCTTTTTTTTTTTTTTTTTTGAGATAGAGTCTCACTATATTGCCCAGGCTGGTCTCGAACTCCTGGGCTCAGGCAAGCTTCCTGCCTCAGTCTCTCAAGCAGCTTGGACTACAGTCATGTGCCACTGTACCCAGATGTTTTTTTCTTTGTTGCTTAAGGCCTCAAAAGATTGTAAAAATATTCTCCTAAATTTATTCCAGTACATTATTATTTGATTTATTTACATTTATAGCTTCAATGCATTTGAAAATTTTTTTGATTTATGTATTTTGGGATTCTTTTGTAAGGTGCATATATGTTTATAATTGTTATATCTTTATGCTGGATTTAACCTTTTTTTTTTTTTTGAGGCAGGGAGGGTCTCACTCTGTTGCCCCGGCTCAGTGCAGTGGCACAATCACGATCATGGCTTACTGCAGTGTTGATCTTCCCAGGCTCAGGTGATCTTCCCACCTCAGCCTCCTGAGTAGCTGGGACTACGGGAGTGTGCCACCATGCTCATCTAGTTTTTTATTTTTATTTTAAATTTATTTTATTATTATTTTTTGAGACGGAGTCTCACTCTGTTACCCAGGCTGGAGTGCAGCGGCGTGATCTCGGCTCACTGCAACCTCCACTTCCCAGGTTCAAGCGATTCTCCTGCCTCAGCCTCCTGAGTAGCTGGGATTATAGGCATGTGCCACCACACCTGGCTAATTTTTGTGTTTTTAGTAGAGATGGAATTTCACCATGTTTGCCAGGTTTGGTCTCATAGTCCTGACCTCTAGCGATTTGCCTCCCAAAGTGTTGGGATTACAGGTGTGAGCCACTGCGCCTGGCCTATGTAGTATATCTTTTTATCCTTTTACTTTCCAGCTATTTGTGTTCTTTAGTCTAAACTATATCTCTTGTAGATGTATAGTTAGAGCATGTTTTTAAATTCATTTTCCCAATTAACCCTGTTCTGCCTGCTACAGTGGCTGTCAGGTTACTGGTTTTCACCATGAGTGTGGGCTGTCGGTTTTCAAGGCTGCCCCAAAGCTGGAGAGAGGGCATGGAAACGCACTGCACTGTTCCTGTTTCTACAGAGATTCGTCCATTTTTCATGAATAAATGCTTTCTGCATTGCTATAAATCTTTGATTAATTTCCAAAGTTTAAAAAGTTGATTTCACCAATTTGGGTAGTTTTCTCATTGCTTTCATAGAGGAGAGAAATTTGAGAGATTTTTACTCTGTCATTTTTGCTTATATCTTTCTGGAATTTATTTTTGTATGTGGTGAAAAAGGGATTTAACCTTTTTTTTTCTAAATGAATAATCAGCTTCACAGCACAGTTTTTAGATACATTCTACTTTCCCACTAAATTAATATGGCATTTTGTTGGTTATGTTTCCTTATATCCTTGGATATCTGTGAACTTGCTTTCATTTTATCCTGTATGCTTGTCAAAAGGAAGTAATTCGTCATCTTAGCCAAGTGCTAGCTATGTGAACTTGAACAAGTTACTTCATCTCCCTGAACTTTTGTCTCTTTATCTGCAGAATAGTGATGAAAATCTCATAGGGTTGTTGAAAAGATGAAATTTGAAAATATTTATCAAGGCTAGGCCCAGTGGCTCACACCTGTAATCCCAGAGCTTTGAACGGCTGAGGTGGAAAGATGGCTTGAGGCCAGGAATTCGAGGCCAGCTTTGGCAACATAGCAGACCTTGTCTCAACAAAAAATAAAAAATAAATTGAAAAAAATGTTTTGGACTGGATTTCATTCTGTCACCCAGGCTGGAGTGTAGCCATATGAACATAGCTCACTGCAGCTTTGAACTCCTGAGCTCAAGTGATCCTCTTGCCTCAGCCTCGTGAGTACCTGGGACTACAGGCATACACTACCATGCCTGGATTATTTTATTTTATTTTATTTATTTTGTTTTTGAGACAAGGTCTTGCTCTGTCACCCCATCTGGAGTGCAGTGGCACGAACATGGCTCACTGCACCGTCAACCTCCTGGGCTCAAGTGATTCTCTGACCTCAGCCTCCTGTGTAGCTGGGACCACAGGCCTGCACTACTGCGCCCAGCTAATTTTTAAATTTTTTTGTAGAGACAAGGTCTTCTGGTGTTGCCTAGGCTGGTATCAAACTCCTGGGCTCAAGCAATCTTCCCACCTCGGCCTGCTGAGGTGCTGGGATTACGGTGTGAGCCACTGCACCCAACCAAAAAATTAAATTTAAAAAAATGTAGAAAGGAAAATACTTATCAAGTACTTTGCTTGGACTTGGTACGTAGGAGGTTCTCAATTATTTTAATTTCATATTGATATTTATAAAGACTTTTTACAGTAAATGTAAATATTTTTACATTTAAAATGGTGAATTTTCAATAATAATTGTGTTTTAATTCTGTAATTACAGTCTTGGATTATATCAATGGAGTGATAAAGTAGTTCGGAAAGTGGAGAGATTATGGGATGTTCGAGATAATAAGATAGTTCGTCACACCGTGTATCTCCTGGTAACACCTCGTGTTGTTGTAAGTATTACCAAACTTCACGTCTCATGAGCCATCTGTTCTTTTCCTTTACTGTGGTCCTTTCTTTACTCATCATTATTGTTTAAGAACTTATAATATTTTAGAGCCTATAGTAGGAAAAGTCATTTAAAGGCTGTGCAATAAAGCTACAGGCCACGAGAAATCTGAGGAAATGGAAACTTGTCAATGGCTCTCACGGCGCCTATCCCACCCAGTGCTTTAGGCCAGTGCCTCCTCTGTTGTGATGCCTCTTAGGACCACTGGTACTATTTCTATAATGACTGATCATTTTCTTTGGTGTCTGTGTTAGTCAAGGGTCTCCAGAGAAACAGAACCAATAGGATGTGTGTATATATCATATATGTATACACAGAGAAAATATGAGAGAGGAGGGGAGGAAGAGATTTCTTTTTTTCTTTTTTTTTTTTTGAGACAGGGGCTCACTCTGTCACCCAGGCTGGAGTGTAGTGGTTTCGGCTCACTGCAACCTCTGTCTCCTGTGCCAAAGTGATCCTCCTACTTCTGCCTCCCAAGTGGCTGAGACTACAGGCACGCACCACCATGCACAGCTAATTTTGTTTATTTTTTTTGTAGTGATGAGGTCTCACTATGTTGCCCAGGCTGGTCTCGATCTCCTGGGCTCAAGTAGTCCTCCTGCCTCAGCCTCCGAAAGTGCTGGGATTACAGGCATAAGTCACCACACTTGGCCAAGAGATGACTTTCAAGGATTTGGCTCACATGACTGTGGAAGCTTGGCAAGTTCAAATCTGATGGGATAGGCCAGCAGGCTGGAGACTCAGGGGAGAGTTGCCCTTGGAGTCCAAAGGCAGAATGACTTCTTGTTCAGGGGAGGTGGGTCTTTGTTCTCCTCCGACCTTCGCCTGGTTGGGTGAGGCCTACCCACATTATGGAAGGTGATCTTTTCTTCAGAGGCCACTGATTGCAATGTTACTCTCATTCAAGAAAACACCTTCACAGAAACATCCGGAATATCTGGGCCAAATATTTGGGTACCATGGCTATTCTCCTTTCCCCTTTTCCTGGACTTTGTACAGCTCTCTGACTTATAAAGTTTTGCACTGCTCTTGGGCTATTTCCCGTCTCTGGAAATCTCTAACTAAAGGACAGATAGAGCCCAGCGAGCAAGGTTTTATTCTACTGAGCAACTTTTTTTTTTTTTGAGACAGTTTCCCTCTTGTCGCCCAGGCTGGAGTGCAGTGGCACGAGCTCGGCTCACTGCAACCTCTGCCTCCTGGGTTCAAGTGATTCTCCTGCCTCAGCCTCCCGAGTAGCTGGAATTACAGGCGCCCGCCACCATGCCTGGCTAATTTTTGTATTTTTAGTAGAGACGGGGTTTTACCATGTTGGTCAGAGTGAGACCCTGTCTCAAAAAAAAAAAAAAAAAAGAAAGAAAAGAAAAAAGGAAATTTCATCCTCCCCTCATCTCATATTCATTCTTTCTCTGTGTGTACATATATGTAGATGTATACACACATCCTATTGGTTCTGTTTCTCTGGAGAACCTTGACTAATACAGACTCCAAATGATCAGTCATTATAGAAATAGTACCACTAATCCTAAGATGTATCACAACAGAGGGAGCACTGGTGACCTCAGGTGATCTGTCTGCCTCAGCCTCCTGAAGTGCTGTGATTACAGGTGTGAGCCACTGTGCCTGGCCAGAATAGATTTTTTGAACAGCTAAAAGTGACAAACCTTTAGTTAGACTAAGAAGATGCAAATAACATAAGAAATGAAAGAGGAGACATTACAGCTGAAACCACAGACACACAAAGGATCATGAGAGACTATTATAAACAATTATATACCAACAAACTGTATAACCTAGAATAAATGAACAAATTCCTAGACAAATACAACTTATGAAGACTGAATCATGAAGAAATAAAAAATCTGAACAGACCAATAATGAGTAATGAGATTGAATCAGTAATAAAAGTCTGCCATCAAAGAGAAGCCCAGGACCAAGTTCACTGCTGAATTTCACTAAATGTTTAAAGAAGAACTAATAATCCAGTCCTTCTCAAACTTTTCCAAAAAATTGAGGAGGAGGGATTACTTCCAGACTCTTTTTACCAGGGCAGCAATACTCTAATAACAAATTTAGACAAGGCGATAAGAAAAGAAAATTACAGGCTAATATTCTTGATGAGCATAAGTACAAAAATTTTGCAACAAGATACTAACAAGCTGAATTCTACAACACGTTAAATAGGTCATCCATCATGATCGAGTGAAATTTATCCCCAGTGTGCAAGGATGGCTGAACATAGCAAATCAGTAACTGAGCAAGGATGGCTGAACATAGCAAATCAGTAACTGACAGAATGAAGGACAAAAACCATATGATCATCTCAATAGATGCAAAAAAATCATTTCACAAAATTCAGCATCTTTTTATGATTAAAAACTAACCAAATTAGGTCCAAAAGGAAGGTACCTCAGCACAATAAAGGCCATATAAGAGACACCCACAACAAACCTTATACTTATTAGTGAAAAATGGAAAGCCTTTCCTCCAAGATCTGGAACACTCTTACCACTTCTGCATAGTATTGGAAATCATCGCAAGAGCAGTCAGGCCATAGAAATAAATAAAAGGCATCCAAATAGGACTGGAAGAAGTGAAATAGTTGCTGTTTGCTGATGACGTGATCTTATATATAGAAAACCCTAGAGACTCCATAAAAAAATTGTGAGGATTAATAAATACAGTAAAAGTTGCAGGATACAAAATCAACACACAAAAATTAGTAGTTTTCTATATACTAACAGAAAACTACCTGAAAAAGAAATGAAGAAAACAGTCTCATTTACCATAGCTACCCCCCCACAAAAAAAACCCAAAATTCTTAGGAATAAATTTAACTGGGGAAGTAAAAGACCTGTACACTGAAAACTAGATGAAATAAATTGACACAATAAATACAAAGGTATCCTGTGTTCATGGCGTAGAAGAATTAGTATTGTTAAAATGTCCATGCTATCCAAAACAGTCTACAGGTTCATTGCTATCCCTATCAAACTTCCAATGTCATTTTTCATAGAAGTAGAAAAAAAATCCTCAAATTCATATGGAACCACAAAAACACCGAAAAGAAAAAAAAAATAAAGCAATCGTGAGCAAAAAGAACAAAGCTGTTCAGGCAGTGTGATGCCTCCAGCTTTGCAGTATTTCAGACTGTACTGCAAAGGAATGGCAATTGGCCAACTGGCAAAGGAATGTTATGGTCCTGGCATAAAAATAGGCACATTGATGAATGGAACAGAATACATTATGATTATTGACTTGATTATGATTAACCAATTATGGTTAATTGGTGTTTAATAAAGGTGCTAAGAATACACAATGGGAAAAAGTCTCTTCAATAAATGGTATAGGGAAAACTGGATAGCCATATGCAGAAAAATGAAATTTGACCTTTATCTCACACCATATACAAAAACCAACTCCAAATATATTAAATAAATTTAAGACCAGAAACTGTAAAACTAGTGGAAGAAAACATAAGGGGACGACTACATGACATTGGTTTGGGCAATGAGTTTTTGGATTGGACCCTAAAAGTACAGGCAACAAAAATAAAAGTGGACAAATGGGATTACATCAAACAAAGAAGCCTCTGCATGGCAAAGGAAACAAAAGTGTGAAGAGACAACCTAGAAATTGAGAGAAAGTATTTGCAAGCTGTACATTAGAAAAGGCGTTAATATACAAGAAATGCAAACAGCTGTGTAAGAATAGCCCATTTAAACAGCTGTGTAAGAATGGCCCATTAAAAATGGGCCAAGGACGTGAATAGACATTTCTCAAAAGAGGACATGCAAATTGTAAGCAGGTACATGAAAAAATGCTCAACATTACTAATCCTTAGGGAAATGAAAATTAAAAGCACAATGAGATGTCATTTTATGCCTGTCAGATGACGGTTATCAAAAAGACAAAAGAAGGCTCACTTTGGCAGCACAAAAACTAAAATTGGGATGATACAGAGAAGATTAGCATGGCCCCAGTGCAAGGATGACATGCAAATTCATGAAGTATTCCATATTTTAAAAAGAAAAAAAAGAAGTGTTGGTGAGGATGTGGAGATAGTATAATTTAGTACAGCCATTACGGAAAACTGTAAGTTCTTCAAAAAACTAAAAGTAGAATTGCCGTATGATCCGATAGTCCTTGTTCCATATTTACACAAAAGATTGAAACCGGTTTGTTGAAGAGACGCTTGCACTCCTGTGTTCAGCGCAGCACTATTTACAGCAGCCACATTACGGAATCAGCCTAAGCGTCCATCAGCAGATGAATGACTAAATAAAGTGTATTCTATACAATTGACCCTTGAACAACATAGGGTGGAACTGCTCAGGTCCACTTATCTGTGGACTTTCTGCCACCTCTGCCACCCCTTAGACAGCAGGACCAACCCCTCCTCTCCATCCTCCTCAACGTGAAGACAAGGATGAAAACCTTTATGAGGACTGACTCCACTTAATGAACAGTGAATATATTCATTTTATTTTCTCTAGCTTTATTGTAAGAATACAGTACATAACACATAAAATATACAATATATGTGTGAATTGACTGTGCAGTTATTGGTGAGGCTTCTAGTCCACAGAAGGCTATTAATAGTTAAGTTATGGAGAAATCAAGTTATACACAGATATCGGCGGACTGCACAGGAAGTTGACACCACTAACACAATGTATTCAGCCTTAAAAAGGCAGGAAATTTTGTCATTTGTAACAACATGGGTGAAACTGGAGAACATGGTGCTAAAAAAGGAACAGAAAGACAAATACCTAATGTTTTCACATTTCCTATGTGACATCTAAAACGATTGAACTCCGAAGCAGAGGGTAGTGGCTATGGAGGCTGGGGTGGGGAAAATGGTGATGGCCAAAGAGTGCAAAATCACAGACGGGAGTAACACTTTTTTTTTCTTTTTTTTTGAGATCTATTGCACAGCGTGGTGAATATGGTTAATAATAGTGTATTGCACAGTTTTAAATTACTGAGAGTAAATTTAAAATATTCTCACAAAAAATAAGTATTTGAAATGATGGCTGTATTAGCTTGATGTAATTATTTCACATTGTATTCATAAATCATAACATCACTCTGTTCTCCATAAATATATGGTTATAACTTGTCAATTTAAAATAAAATAAAAAATTTTAAATTGTTATTGACATGAGTTACAACTGTCAATCATCCTAGTCTATAACATTTTTTCACTATATGGTACAAAAGTGAAAATCTTCAGAGAGAAGAAAAGATGCTAAGAGAAGAAGTAATTTCCTAGCAAAGAAGAGTGTGACTGCATCAAAATATTTAATTATATTAAAAACCATATTTTAAAAAGAAATTCTCTTTTCTCGACGAAGTAAGTCTTTAATGTTAACTTATTGTATTCATGTGATGAAAAGTTTGCCACCATCTTAACAGTGCTTTTGTACCATATTTGTTTCCGATTTTTTTTCTGGTTCTTAGGAGGAAGCACGAAAACATTTTGATTGTCCAGTTCTGGAGGGAATGGAACTTGAAAATCAAGGTGGTATGGGTACTGAGCTCAACCATTGGGAAAAAAGGTTATTAGAGGTCAGTTTGTTTTTAAATTTTACTAGACTTTATTTATTTATTTATTTATTTTTTTAATCTTGTTTTTTTAAATTTATTTATTATTATTATACTTTAAGTTGTAGGGTACATGTGCATAACGTGCAGGTTTGTTACATATGTATACTTGTGCCATGTTGGTGTGCTGCACCCATCAACTCGTCATTTACATCAGGTATAACTCCCAATGCAATCCCTCCCCCCTCCCCCCTCTCCATGATAGGCCCCGGTGTGTGATGTTCCCCTTCCCGAGTCCAAGTGATCTCATTGTTCAGTTCCCACCTATGAGTGAGAACATGCGGTGTTTGGTTTTCTGTTCTTGTGATAGTTTGCTAAGAATGATGGTTTCCAGCTGCATCCATGTCCCTACAAAGGACACAAACTCATCCTTTTTGATGGCTGCATAGTATTCCATGGTGTATATGTGCCACATTTTCTTAATCCAATCTGTCACTGATGGACATTTGGGTTGATTCCAAGTCTTTGCTATTGTGAATAGTGCTGCAATACTGCCCAAGGTAATTTATAGATTCAATGCCATCCCCATCAAGCTACCAATGAGTTTCTTCACAGAATTGGAAAAAACTGCTTTTAAGGCTACAGTAGACTTTATTTAATGAAAATAATTCATAATTATGGTAAAAGTTATTCAAACAGGTTATAAACTGAAAAATGTTTAGGTCCCTTTACCCCTTCAGCTCTCCAGATGCACTTTCCAGGTATAATCACTCTTTACATTTTTTGTATATACTTTCATAAATGTTATGTATGTATGTGCAAACACATGCAGAATTGTTTATTTTTTAATGGGTTCACATATTTATGCAACTTTTTCACTTTTTCCAGGGCACTATAGGTGCTTCTGCTATAATGCAATGTATGCTTTCCTGAAAAACCTTTTTCTTCAAAATTGGACATGAAAAATAACAAGACTTGTAGGAAAAATAAGTAAACAGATCAATAACAGCAACAAATAAGTCATGTAGAACTCTGAGCTCAGTTTTAAAAAGACATTAGATTTTCAATAAATGAAGTCCTGTATCTACTCTAGTATTTTTTTAATTAAAATTTTTATATTTTTTAGAGACAGGGCCTCACTGTGTCATCCAGGCTGGAGTGCTGCAGCTGTTCACATGTATGATCATAGCACACTACAGCCTCGAACTCTTTTGGGCTCAAGCAGTCCTCCTGCCTCAGCCTCCCAAGTAGCTGGGACCACAGGCACACACCACTGCACCCAGCCTGCTCTAGTCTGTGTGTCTCTTTTTCTTTCTCTCTCTTTTCCTTCCTTCCCTTCCTTCCTTTCTTCCTTCCTTCCTTCCTTCCTTCCTTCCTTCCTTCCTTCCTTCCTTCCCCTTTCTTTCCTTTTCCTTTTCTTTTTCCTTTCCCTTTTCCTTTTCTTTTTCCTTTCTTTCCTTTCTTCTCTTTCTTTCTGTCTTACTTCACTTGTCCAGGCTAGAGTACAGTGGCATGATTTCAGTTCACTGCAGCCTCAACCGCCTGGGCTCAAATGGTTCTCCCACCTCAGCCTCCTGGGTAGCTAGGAATACAGGCATGTGCCACCACACCCAGCTAATTTTCTTTTTGTACTTTCAGTAGAGATGGTTTCACCGTGTTGCCCAGGCTGACCCCAAACTCATGGACTCAAGCAGTTCACCCGCCTCAGCGGCCCGAAGTGTGGGGTTAGAGGTGTGCATGTCCGTGCCTGGCTACTCTAGCATTTCTTTACCTTCAGCATCAGCAGTAATAATAACCCATGGTAGCTGCATGGGGGATTGTAAATCTGAGTATTGAGGATGGGGTAAAATGTACATAGACTTGTGAGAATCATACAGTAAACATTTGCACGCAGAGTCGCTGGCTACACCGAGCAACACATTGTACACAGTACAGCATTTTTGTATTGCTGTGTTTGGCTATCTTAGTATACTTTGTGTTTAGGCTTCATCACAAAATAGTCACATGCAGGGAAAATCAACGAACCAACGTGATTCCATGTTATATTGATGCCATTCCCTTATTTACTAATTTCACATGAGCTCATTCACATTGCAGAAACACATGCTTTCACAGAATAAACTGTATTCTTGGATCTACTCATTTTTTCTATATGAATGTAGCATAACAGTTCTGTTAATGAACAATTATGGTTTAAATTTTGTATAGAAAATATAATGAGCAACTTATTTATATCTGTGATACCCCAGGATGGGGTTTCAGTTGGTGTTTTTAGGTTCAACTAAGCAGTCAAACCCACAGGACCTAATCAAGCCATGTTGAGAAAAGATTCCCTTAGAGAAGGATATTAGAAGGAACACCCAGCCCGCCAGCACGGTAGAGCCAGGCGTTCCTCTTGTGCTCCACGTGGCAGTGGAGGGGCTGTCATCTGTGCCTCCTCCCCTCCCCGTGCAGCTCAAGACCACAACAGACAGATGGGAGGACCAGCCTGGCTGAGAAAGATCATGTCCAAATAAGAACCAGTATCTTTTTAGTTTTAGAGATCTGCTTAAATGGATAGTTGCAGCTTATATACATCATGCCTAAAGTTAATAAAATTATGGAAGGAATGAAATGGATGCTTGTGGTTACTGTCAAAGTAACAATGACGGAAACTTACAGAAGACACGCACATCTCTTCCTTCCATGGGAAATTTGGCTTTTTTTTTTCCTTAAGAAATTTTCTCAAGTGACTCCCTTAAGAAAGCTGAAGATTGGCCAGAAATGAAAGTTTGTGCCTTTCAGCAGAAGCTCTGGGAGTAGTAATGGCATCAGTTTCTCTCAAATCAATTTTGTGTCCTTGAACTATTTTTTTTTTGAAGCATGGTATCACAGTACTTGAGATGGCCATCTGGTGTGCAATGGAAAGATTTAAAGAATACTCAGAACTGTCCAAAGATGAAATAAGCTCCGTCAGAGGCAGTGAAGTCCTCATCATTAGGTGACCTCCTGATAGGAATTGTATGATATGAATTAAAATATTGGGTAGATGGTAGAGCTTGATGATGTTTTAGACCTTTCAAGGAAGTCCGTTTACCCCGTGACTCTGTCACACTTGTTTTCATGTTAGCACATGTTTCTGTGATCACAGAGTTGAAGGTTATGAAAACATTTTCAGTGTAATTCAGACAGCCGTTCTCCCTGACCCAAAATTATCTGTGCGTTTGCCCCATTCACCCACTTTGCTTTACCTGGAGAGTATAATATTTCTGTAGTGTTTCTGTTTCCATATAGATTTATCTTCATTCATCACAGAGTTCTAAATGCCAGTTGCCTGCCATTCCAAGGGAATTGTACACAGTGGAAACACTTAGGGCAGAAAGTAGATTTCACTTCAAGGTTCGGTCTAGTCATTTTAAAAGTTTATGTATTTCACCACTTTTAAATGAATGTCTTGTCAGCCTCTCACAGTTGGAATATTTTAAATATATATATCAGAGGAATTACAGAAAGTATTAGGAGTTGCAGAGAATCTCGTTTTCCAGTTAAACTCTGTTGGTGATTTTCAGAACGAAGCGATGACTGGTTCTCACACTCAGAATCGAGTACTCTCTCGGATCACTCTGGCGTTAATGGAGGACACTGGGTAAGACAGCTGTGACAATGGGATATGAATTGTTTATTAAAATGAAATTAATACTGAGCTCATAGCTTAAGAAAATGTTGGCATTTTATGCTGAAGCAAAATATACTTATTAATTATTTGAATCTTGTACAGTTAGCTGTCCATTATTCATACCAACTCCATTCATTCATTCAATAAATACTTTTGTTGGTTGTTTGTTTTAAAATAGGATCTCACTCCTGTTGCGCAGGGTGGAGTGCAGTGGCAGTCTGGACTCACTAATCCTGGACTTCCCGGGCTCAAGCAATCCTCCCACCTCAGCTTCCTGAGTAGCTGGGACACAGGCACGTGCCACTGTGCCTGGCTAATTTTTTGTATTTTAAATAGAGATGGGGTTTTGTCATGTTGCCCAGGTTTTTCACAAACTTCTGGGCTCAAATGATCCACCCACCTTGACCTCTTCCAAAGTGCTGGGATTACAGGCCTGAGCCACCCCACCTGGCCACAATAAATGTTTGAGGCCCCGAGACATAGTAATAATTAGGACAAAATCCCTGATATTATTTGTTTTCGAATAAGCAGAGGCTGAGCCAATATCAAGAAAAGACCAAATAATTTTTAAGTTACTTTTTTTTTTTTTAATAAAACAGTGGAACTTTCAGGTGAAGCCATGAAATACTGTTTAGTTTATTTTTTTAAGTAGAGACAAGGTCTCACTATATTGCCCAGGCTGGTCCCAAACTCCTGGGCTCAAGCAAGCCTCCTGCCTTGGCCTCCCAAAGTGCTAGGATTACAGGAATGAGCCACCATGCCTGGCAGAAATACTGTTTTTACATGAAATCTTTTATACAACCCCTACATATCAAAAAAAATTAAAGCTGCTTTAGTAGAAGCATTGTTACCTCTTACTCTTTCTAAGACAGTCTGAGAGAAAATTAGAAAATTGAATCAAATTTGAAAATTAATGGCAGAGGTGCCATTAAAACCATGAAAATTGTTGACACTACCTTCACTGTTGAGAGGTCAAAGAGGTGTAAGGATTTAAACATATAGAGGTTATTCTTTTTTTTTTTTTGAGACGGAGTCTTGCTCTATCGCCCAGGCTGGAGTGCAGTGATGTGATCTTGGCTCACTGCAACCTCCACCTCTCAGGGTCAAGCGATTCTCCTGCCTCAGCCTCCTGAGTAGCTGGGACTACAGGTGTGCATCACCACACCTGGCTAATTTTTATATTTTTAGTATAGATGGGGTTTCGCCATGTTGGCCAGGCTGGTCTGGAACTCCTGACCTCGGGTGATCTGCCCACAGTGCTTGATTATAGGCATGAGCCACCGTGCCCAGCATATCTCATTGAGTTTTATGAGACTTAAATGAGTTAATATTTGTAAAGCCCTTTTGTACAGTGCTTGGCACACTGTAAGTGCCAACTAAGTGTGAGCATTATACAAAAAACCGAGCTAAAGACTCATGAAACAAGACTTACTCTTGCTGCCTCAGTGCAGTCCTTTATCATATTGAGTTTTTAAAGAGAGAGAAATGTTAATCAAGATCTGCTAAGTGGATTTCACAACTCACTAATACTACTCAGAAACCCCTGTTTCTAAAGCCCCCTCTACTCCCTCACTAGTGCTCATTCTTCTGAGTTTAGCTAAAGTTGCTTCCTCAGAAAAACCTTTCCGAATTCTTCAGACTAACTTAGGTTTTTCTGTTACTGTGTTCCTGTTAGCATCATATACTTCTTCTTTGGAATACTCATCACACTTCAAATGTTTTGTTTTAGTATCTGTCTTCCCTACTAGATCATGATCTTCATGAGAGCAGTTTCTGTGTTTAGTACTGTAGCCTTCATTTAACAAAGTGCCTACCATGTGACAAATGCTTAATAACTGTTGACTGCTAATACGGAAAGAGCTGCAAAGAAACGGTTATCAAGAGGGTCTCATGATGTGTAGCTGGAGTGCCCACCTGGTGATGGAATAACAGCGCTGATAGGATATTCTGCACTCACCAACATGCACCTTCACAAAGGAGTCTACTTACTCTACACTTTATTCATAGGGCTAAGGGCTTCTGAGCCTGAGCACCTGCTAAAATAATTGTTAGTGGACAGCACTAGGGGCACTGTCACTGTCCGGACAGTTTGACCTTGCTGTGACACCAAGGTAGCTGGGAATGTAACTCACATTGTAGTTGCAGAAGTTGCAGGCATTTTGGCTTTGGAGCGCTGTGACTCCTTCAGTTTCTCTCTGAGTGAGAGCTTTGTTCTTTGACAGGAGAGAAGTTTTGGAAGATGCTACATTACATATTTGTTTGATTTTGTAGTAAGGTGATATAAGTGGAGGGGATAATTCTTATCTCCCCAACTTTTGAGCCTATTTTTTTTTCAATATTATTGTTTTTTATTACATTTTTAATTATAGAGATGGGGTTTCACCACGTTGCCCAGGCTGGTCTCAAACTCCTGAGCTAAAGTGATCCACCCACCTTGGCCTCACTAAGTGCTGGGATTACAGGTGTGAGCCACTGCGCCCAGCCCTGAGCCTATGTTTTTATTTGCTGTTTTGATAATGCTAAAGGAACAAAATATAATACATACAGGTAAGAGACTACTTTGTATAATTTTATAATTTTTGCAAGCTAATCTTGTCTCTAAAAATAAATACAAACTAAAACAAACTGATTGCCTTTGATTAAATTTGTCTGGAAACTCAGTCAGTACTTTCTTTTTTCTGTTGTTAGAACTTTTTCTTTTGAGACAAGGTCTCACTCTATTTCCCGGGCTGGAGTGCCGTGGCATGATCCTGGGCGGAGGCGATCCTGCCACCTCAGCCTCCCAGGTAGCTGAGACTGTAAGCACACACCACCGCACACCTGGCTAACTTTTTGTATTTTTAGTAGAGACAGGGTCTCACCATGTTGGCCAGGCTGGTCTCGAACTCCCAACCTCAAGTGATCCAACCACTTCAGCCTCCCAAAGTGCTGGGGTTACAAGTGTGAGTCACCGCACCCAGCTAGGACATTTAAAAACTATTGGACATAGGCTGGGCACAGTGGCTCATACCTGTAATCCCAGCGCTTTGGGAGGCCGAGGCGGGTGGATCACCTGGGGTCAGGAGTTCAAGACCAGTGTGGCAAACATGGTGAAACCCCGTCTCTACTAAAAATGCAAAAATTAACCAGACATGGTGGCGGGTGCCTGTAGTCCCAGCTACTCAGGAGGCTGAGGCAGGAGAATCACCTGAACCCAAGAGGCAGAGCTTCCGGCGAGCCGGGATCGTGCCACTGTAGTCCAGCCTGGGTGACAGAGCAAGACCCTGTCTCAAAGTAAAATAAAGTGAAAATTACAATAGAAACATGTTTTGTTCTGTTATGTAAAAATGTAAAAGTATTTAATACCTCATCATAAGCCTGGTTATTGAATCCCTATGTAGCAGTCCCTGCTCTGCAAGAATCATCACTTATGGTGATGGCCTCCAAAGTCTTTCTCAAGGTCCTAAGGTGCTCGCTGTTGAGATTCTCAGTTGTTATGCTAGAGTTGTTTTTAAAAGGACAGCAATAAAAGTTGCTTTGTTTTTTATTCCACAGCTGGTATAAAGCAAATTACAGCATGGCTGAGAAGTTAGACTGGGGCCGAGGAATGGGCTGTGACTTTGTCAGGAAGAGCTGTAAATTCTGGATTGATCAGCAAAGACAAAAGTAAGAATGCATTTCCTCACAGTGTCGTTGATTACACAGTTCCTTTCTGATTTTATGCTTTATCCCAAGCCTAAAATGCTAACTATTTTCAAAATGTAGTCTGAGCAGTTCAATTTTACAATATATAGAAAACCACCTGTAGATGGTTGGTAATAAGATTGTAAGAAGTAGCTGAGTATTGTTTTTAATCATATACTAAAGGGATCCACAGTGAGGGGCCCAGAGCCATGAACATTTCTGTTCAGCTTATTATAACTCATAAATATATATATTTTACAAACCTTTTGTTTCCTCTGTCGTTTGTGTTGTTTTCTTCAGAGAATGCACCTGTAAGTATAGATGCAAATATTGATTCAGTATCAAAAAAAGGCACTTTTGAATAGGAATTTCCAAATCCAGATGCGTATCATAATCACCTAGCAAGCTTTTAAAAAATAGAGTAAGTTTGACATCTATCTGTATATCATCTATACAGACATATATCATACATACATACAATACAGACATATATACAATACAGACATATATCAGACATATATACAATACAGACATGTGTCAGACATATATACATACAGACATATACACATATACAATACAAACGTATACATATATTCAATAAGACATATATCAGACATATATACAATACAGACATGTATCAGACATATATACAATATAGACATGTGTCAGACATATATACAATACAGTTGTTCTTTGGTAACCATGGAGGATTGCTTCCAGGACTCCACAGATAACAAAATCCATAGATGCTTACATAAAAGTTCCTTATATGAAATGGAATAGTATTTGCATATAACCTGTGTATGTCCTCTTGTATACTTTAAATTACCTCTAGGTTATTTATAATACATAATACAATATAAATGCTATGGGAATAGTTGTTATACTGTATTGTTTAGGGAAAAATGACAAGGAAAAAAGTGCCCATGTTCAGTACAGATGCAAGCATCCTTTTTTCCCTGAATTTTTCTTTTCTTTTTTTTTTCCTTTGAGACAGAGTCTCACTCTGTTGCCCAGGCTGGAGTGCAGTGGCGCAATCTCAGCTCACTGCCACCTCTACCTACCAGGTTCAAGCGATTCTCGTGCCTCAGCCTCCTGAATAGCTGTGATTATAGGCGTGCGCCACCACTCCTGGCTAATTTTTGTATTTTTAGTAGAGACGGGATTTTGCCATGTTGGCCAGGCTGGCTCACGCCTGTAATCCCAGCACTTTGGGAGGCCGGGCCGGGTGGGTCACTTGAGATCAGGAGTTCAAGACCAGCCTGGCCAACATGGTGAAACCCCATCTCTACTAAAAATATAAAAATTAGCCAGGCATGGTGGCGGGCACCTGTAACCCCAGCTACTCAGGAGGCTGAGGCAGGGAACAGCTTGAATCCAGGAGGCAGAGGTTGCAGTGAGCCGAGATCGCACCATTGTACTCCAGCCTAGGTGACAAAGTGAGGCTCTATCTCAAAAAAGACAAAACAACAACAACAACAAAAATGTTATGTGAATGAATTCATATTGTATGTGAACTTTTGAGCATGGCTTTTTTTACTCAGCATAATTCTCTAGAAATTCATCCAGGTTGTTGTATATATCAATAATTTGACTTTTTGTGGCTGGTTAATATTTCGCAGTGTGATATACCACAGTTTGTTTAAACATTCACACTTTGAAGGACATCTGGATTGTTTCCAGTTTTGGGCTATTATGAATGAAGTTGCTATAAACATCTATGTACAGGTTTGTGTGTGAACATATATCTTTATTTTTCCAGAAAAAGTGCCAGGAATGCAGTTGCTGGCTCATTAAGTAATTGCAGGTTTAGTTTTGTAAGAAACTGCCAAACTTTTTAATTCCTAGCAGTGACGTGTAAGTGATATAGTTTCTCCACATGTTTGCCAGCATTTGGCGTTGTCATGATTTTTTGTTTAATCGATTCTGATAGGAGTGTAGTGATATTTTATTTGGTTTTAATTTGTGTTTCCCTAATGTCTAATGATGTTGAACTGCTTTTCATGTGCTTACTCGCTAATTATATATCCTCTTTGGCAAACTGTCTCTTCATCTTTTTTTTTTTTTTTTATTTTTGAGACAGAGTTCCCTGTTGCCCAGGCTGGAGTGCAGTGGCATTCTATATTCCTTCTTGCTCACTTGTATACTCCTTTTGTTCTGCGGTTCATTCTGATCTCCTGTTTTTTTTTTTTTTTATTTTTGAGACAGAGTTTCGCTCTGTTGCCCAGGCTGGAGTGCAGTGGCACAATCTTGGCTCACTGTAACCTCTGCCTCCCGGGTTCAAGCGATCCTTCTGCCTCAGCCTCCATGGTAGCTGGGACTACAGGCACATGCCACTATGTCCGGCTAATTTTTGTATTTTTAGTAGAGATGGGGTTTTACCATGTTGGCCAGGCTGGTCTCAAACTCCTGACCTCGTGATCCACCCGCCTCAGCCTCTGAAAGTGCTAGGATTACAGGCATGAGCCACCACACCCAGCCTCTTCATCTCTTAAGCCAATTTTCTAATTGGATTGTTTTTTACTGTTGAGTTTTGAGAGTTCTTCATGTATTCTGGGTAGTAGTCCTTTGTCAGATACGTGGTTTGCAAATATTTTCTCCCAGTTCATAGCTTGTCTTTTTATCCTTTTAACAGGGGCTTTTGTAGGGCAAATGGTTTTAGTTTTGACGAAATCCAGAATTTCAGTTTGTCCTCTTATTGTGTCTTTGACGTCAAGTCTAAGAAGTCTTTGCCAAGCTCTAGATCTTGAAAGTTTTCTTCAAAAGTTTTATAGTTTTACACTTTACATTTAAGTCCATGATTCATTTGAGTTACGTTTTGTATAAGGTGGGAGACTTAGATCAAGGTTTGTTTTTTTGTATACAGATGGGCAATTGCTTTAGCACCATTTGTTGGAAAGGCTGTCTTTCCTTCATGGAATTGCTTTCGTGCCTTTGGCAGAAACAATCAGTTGGGTGTATTTGTGGTGATCTGTTTCTGTTTCTGGGTTTTCCGTTCTGTTCCAGTGATCCCCGTGTTTGTGCCTCCACCAATAACACACAGCCCTTAATTACTGTAATTATTTAGTAAGTCTTGAAATTGGGTAGACTGATTCTTTCCACTTTATTTTAAAATTGTTCTGGCTGTTTTGGTTCCTTTGCATTTCCATATACATTTTACAATAATCTTTTCTGTATCTGCCAAAAAACTTGCAGGGATTTTGCTAGGAGCTGCATTAACCCTGTGTGTCAATTTGAGGAGAATTGACATTTTTACTGTGTTGAGTTTTCCAATCCATAAACATGGGAGAAAACATTCAGTCTTTCATTATTAAATGTAATGTTAGCTGCAGATTTGTATACATGTTCTTTATACATGTTTTTATACATGTTCTTTGTCTTTTATACATGTTTTATACATGTTGAAAAAGTAGCTCTCTATTCCTATGTGTCTGAGAGCTTTAATCGTGAATGGATATTGCCTTCTGTCAAATGCTTTTTCTACTTTAGCTGATATGCATAATCATGTGATTTTTTTCGCCTGTTAATATGGTGGATTTCATTGGTTGATTTTCAAATATTAAGTCACCCTTGCATTCCTGGAGTAAACCCCACTTGGTCATGGCATATAATTATTTCTATATGTTGCTGAATTCTATGGACTATTATTTTGTTGTGGATTTTTGTTTCTGTATTTGTGATGAATACAGATCTGGAGTTTTCTCTTTTTTCCCCCATTATTTTACCTTTAATTAATCAGTATGGCTCTCAGAACAATTATGTCAGTTAAACTTGATCTTTTTCAAATCTGACACATTTTGAAAAACAGATATATCCTTCTAGTAAGAGAGATTTAAAAAATAATAGAAGAAAAGTTACAAAATACATAATAATTATTACTAAATGAGCAAATAATGGGCTCCCCTGTCATACTTAATATTGGCTTAATTTAAATTATTATTTATGGCCAGACATGGTGGCTCACGCTTGTAATCCTAGCACTGTGGGGGGCTGAGGCAGGCTGATTGCTTGAGCCCAGGAGTTCAAGACTAGCCTGGACAACATGGCGAAAGCCCATCTCTACAAAAATGTACAAAAATGAGGTGGGTGTGGTGGCACATGCCTGTAGTCCCAGCTACTCAGGAGACTGAAGCAGGAGGATCACTTGAGCCCAGAAGCTTGAGGCTGCAGTGAGCTATGACTACACCACAGCACTCCATCCTGGGCAGCAGAATAAGACCCCATCTCTAAATAAATAAATACATGATTTGTGTCATACTCTGAAGTAATACATCCTAGGATATAATGAGGTGTTTATCATGCTTTATTTTTATTTTGACTTAGTTCAAAATATTTTTCTCTTTCTTTTAATTCAAAACTCTTGTGTCACTTCAAGTTCAAAATATTTTAACTTTCTCTTAAGATTTCTTCTTTGACCACTGTATTATTTAAAAGTGCTTTGTTTAATTTCCAGCTATTTTGAGATGTTCCAGCTATCTTTCTGTTATTGATTTCTAGTTTAATTCCATTATTGTAAGAAAGCAAACCTTTTTCCTCAGCCTTTCGAGTAGCTGGGACTACAGGCGCACACCACCACACCTAGCTAAATTTTTATATTTTTGTAGAGACAGGGTTTCACTGTATTGCTCAGGCTAGTCTTGAACTCCTGGGCTCTAGCAGTCTGCCCACCTCTGCCTCCCAAAGTGCTGGGATTACAGTCGTGAGCCACTGTGCCTGGCCTATTTTTCTGTTCTTAATCTCGATTTTTGAGATTATTGATTTGAGATATTTCCTGTTTCTAATGTAGCTGTTTGTTGCTATACATTTTCCTCTCAGCATTTCTTTAGCTTTGTCTCACAAATTTCAATGTGTTTTTATTTTCATTTAGTTCAATGTATTTTTAAAAATTTTTCTTTGAGATTCTTCTTTGACCCATGGATTATTTAGAAGTGTGTTGTTTGGTATACAAGTATTTGGAAATTTTTCTGTTATTTTTTGTTGTTGAATTGTAGTTGGAGAATATATGCTGTATGATTTGAGTTATTTTAAATTTGTTCAGGTTTGTTTTATGGCCCAACATATGGTCTTATCTTGATATATGCTTTTTTATTTTTTTTATTTTTTTGAGATGGAGTTTCACTCTGCCACCCAGGCTGGAGTGCAGTGGTACGATCTTGGCTCACTGCAGCCTCTGGTGCTGAGTTCAAGCTCTTCTCCTGCCTCAGCCTTCCAAGTAGCTGGGACTACCGGCGCCCGCCACCATGCCCGGCTAATTTTTTGTATTTTTAGTAGAGATGGGGTTTCATCCTGTTTACCAGGCTGGTCTTGAACTCCTGACCACAGCTGATCCACCTGCCTTGGCTTCTTCCCAAAGTGTTGGGATTACAGGCGTAAGCCACCACGCCCAGCCAATCTTATACATGTTTCATGGGCACTTGAAAAGAATGTACATTCTGACACTGGGTGGAGTGTCGTGTAAATGTCAGTTACATCCTGTTGGTTGATGGTGTTAAGTCCTTGACGTTGGGTGGAGTGTTGTGTAAATGTCAGTTACATCCTGTTGGTTGATGGTGTTACGTCCTTCTTGACATTGGGTGGAGTGTTGTGTAAATGTCAGTTTCGACCTGTTGGTTGATGGTGTTAAGTCCTTCTTGACCTTGGGTGGAGTGTTGTGTAAATGTCGGTTACATCCTGTTGGTTGATGGTGTTAAGTCCTTCTTGACCTTGGGTGGAGTGTTGTGTAAATGTCAGTTACATCCTGTTGGTTGAGGGTGTTAAGTCCTTGACGTTGGGTGGAGTGTTGTGTAAATGTCAGTTACATCCTGTTGTTTGATGGTGTTACGTCCTTCTTGACATTGGGTGGAGTGTTGTGTAAATGTCAGTTTCGACCTGTTGGTTGATGGTGTTAAGTCCTTCTTGACCTTGGGTGGAGTGTTGTGTAAATGTCGGTTACATCCTGTTGGTTGATGGTGTTAAGTCCTTGACGTTGGGTGGAGTGTTGTGTAAATGTAGTTACATCCTGTTGGTTGATGATGTTAAGTCCTTCTATATCCTTGCTGATTTCCTGCCTAGTTGGTCTATCAGTTGTTGAGAGAATTCACCACCACATCAGTCTTCGAGTCCTGAAGTCCTTAACTAGTGTGACTTCTCTCTACCCTTCAGAGTCTTCTTTTATTTCTTTAATTTACAGTGACTGGGTTTTTAGTTGTACTCAGAGGGAGGAATAGGGAGAAGCCTATCTAGTCCATCTTCTAGGAATTAGAAGTGGTACTTATATTTCTCTTTCTATATTTAAAAAAATTTCCCCTGGTGGGTCAGGTATGGTGTGGTGGCTCACACCTGTAATCCCAGCACTTTGGGAAGAGGGAAGATTGCTTGAGCCCAGGAGTTTGAGACCATGTTGCTTAGGCAACATGACCCTATCTCTACAAAGTAAAAAAATTAGCCTGGCATGGTGGCATGGCGGCATGGTGGCATGGTGGCATGGTGGCATGGCCCTGTAGTCCCAGCTCCTTGGGGGCTGTGGTGTGAGGATCCCTTGAGCCCAGGAGGTCACAGCTGTGGTGAGCTATGATCATGCCACTGCAATCCAGTGTGGGTGACAGCAAGACCCTGTTGCAAAAAAAAAAAAAAAAGAAAGAAAAGAAAATGTTATTCTCATCTTTTCTTACCTGCGTTAGGTCATAAAGCAATTTAAATCACTTGTGGTTTCTACTAAGGAGTCTGACCTCTGGGTTGTAACCCTAATGTGAAGATAATACGCAGTAGCCAGAAGCACCGGCAGCCACTCTGAGGACAGCTTGTTAACCCTGCACTACAGCCTGATCTGCCAGTTAGGGGTTCTCAAATTTTGCTGCTTATGAAAATCATCTAGAGAACTTGAAAAACTCTCCATACCCAGGTTACAAGTTAAATCATGACTGTGCTAAGAGCCAGGCACTAGCGTTGTGTGAGTTTGTTTTACTAAATTCCCGAGTGATCTTACTGTGTAATGGAGTTTGGGAACCACTGTCCCGGTGTGTCAGAGGAAGTCTGTAATTCACACTGCAGCATGAACAAAGAGCTCAGGGAGGTTTTTGTTCACTTTTCTGTTAACAGATGCAACTCTGTTTATTCCCCTTTTGATCCCAATTATAGCATCACCTAAGACCTGAAACAGAAGGGACTTCTACTTCTTTATTCTTAAAAACTAAAGCCGTGGGTCCCTTGAATTCTCTTCTATCCTTTGATTCATAAGCCAGTGCCAGCAAGGCTTTTTTTTTAAGGTCCAAATAGTAAATGTTTTAGGTTTTGAGGGTTGTTACAATCTGTGTCACAACTACTTACCTCTGCTTTTATACAGCAAGAGGCAAAACCAATGGGCATGGCAATGTTCCTGTCATCTTCCCCATCTCTACAAAAAGTAAGTGAGCATGGTGGCACATGCTTGTAGTCCCACTTGCTTGGGAGGCTGAGGTGGGAGGATTGCTTGAGCCCAGAAGATCAGGGCTGCAGTGAGCTATGGTTGTGCGGTTGTGTCACTGCACTCCAGCCTGGGCAACGAGACCCTGTTTTAAAAACAAAAAATCGACAAGAAAGAAAACAGACTGTGGTCAGGATTTGACCCAAGAGTTGAGTTTGCTGACCCCTGTCATAATCATTCAAATGTCCCACTTGGGAGCACTGAAGTTCAGAATCATTCACCGGATAGAAGCCATCTTCCGGCAGCACAGACCCAGTCTGCCGGTGTGTATGTTAGGGATTCCAGTGCGGCCGTTCTTGAGCACAGGGGCCGATGCCTAACTTCTGGGCTTCGTCAACTGTGACTCTTCTCCATTGTTGGGAAACCAGTGTGAGAAGGGGTTGGTTAAGTGAGCATAGGCAGAGCCATACTTATTTGAATCACTTCAATGTACACATACTTAAAATAAGGTTCTTTCCATGTTTGAAGCAACTAAAACTGATAAACCACCCAACTCCTCTGCCTAGCTCATTTGATGTGAATATTGACTCTAGAGCTATACTGTCTAATGTGGTACCATTAGCCACGTGGGGCTGAACTTATATTTAAATTAGTTAAAGTTAAATACCATTTAAAATTTAGTTCCTCAGGGCCAGGCACGGTGGCCCATGACTGTAATCCCGGCAGTTTGGGAGGCTGAGGTGGGCAGATCACGAGGTCCAGAGATCGAGACCGTCCTGGCTAACATGGTGAAACCCCGTCTCTACTAAAAATACAAAAATTAGCCAGGTGTAATTGTGGTGGCAGGCGCCTGTGGTCCCAGCTACTCAGGAGGCTGAGGCAGGAGAATTGCCTGAACCTGGGAGGCGGAGCTTGCAGCGAACCAAGATTGCACCACTGCACTCCAGCCTGGCGACAGAGCAAGACTCCGCCTCAAAAAAAAGAAAAAAAAAATTAGTTCCTCAGTTAACTAGTCACCTTTCAAGTGACATACATGATCGATGGCGACATCGGGCAGCACAGATAGAGACTTTTTCTAGCTCTCTTGACAGTGCTTCTCCGGAATTTGTAAGCCATGAATCTTAGCTCTAACTTTGGAATGTTTAAAATCGCTAACTTTTAACTTCTTTTTTCTTCTTTATTCATTTAGCCAAAACTCATTTTATGTAATTTAAAGTAAATATAATATGCCTTTTGGTTTTAGACAAAAAACAGAAATGACTTTCATGGAATCAAGAAAGTCACTAATTAAGAACTATTGGAATATGAACTTCCATATTCATTCGAAGCTTTATCATGGGAAGTTAAAATATTGCCTTATATGAAGATTTTATGAAAATGGTATAAACAGCAGAAATTACATTTATTGAGTAGCCTGCATGTGCCAGGCACTGAGTGCTTTGGGGTTGAAGCTCAGGAAAGTTAAGTAATTTCCACAGAAGTGTGGCTGGTGCTGGTGTTTGAACCCAGACCTGTGCGATTACTTCAAAAGGTTTGCTTTCCTGTTATACTGTGCTGCTTCCACTTTGCTGAAGACTGTGGTAAGTATTTTGTATGTTTCATCTTAGGAAGCTGTAACTCCCTAAAGATGTATGCTGATACACTGTGTTCATTTAAATAAGACAATTCATCAATTTTCCTTAAAATAAGAAATATTTAATACAGGCTTTTTTTCCTTAAGAAATATGTGGAAGAAGAGGAAAATTGTCAATGATTCCATTACAATTTGGTAGACCAGTATTAATAGGATTTCTATTATTTAGGAATACTGAGATTTTATTTATAAAATTGCTATTATGATATTAATATAATTTTTATATTGTAAATTGTCAATTTGATGACTGCTAAGAATTACAGGTTTGTTTGAAGGTTGTTTTTGCAAGACAGTGCAACAGATTCTAATATCTTTTAATAATTTACATGCCCTTTTTTCAAATTATATTTTCAAGATTACATTTAATGGAACAGAACAAGTTGGTAACAATTAGGAATATTCACATAATCTTTATTTTGCACAGGAAAATAAGATTGTCTGGTGAAGGTGGTCAGTTAAACAAACTGTCAGATTATTGAATAGAGAAAATTTCACTCTTTGTAGCTGCAGGGCAGAGGGGACGTTACCTCCATCTCTTTCCGAGAATCCCATTTGTTAATTATGGAGGTTTGTGTTTTTAGGCCGGGATCTGGATTTCCATTTGTTGGCTGTTTAATGGACTTGCAATATTTTCTTTAAAGTTTGATACTGTGGCACTTCTCTTTGTTTGCAGGAGGCAGACGCTGAGCCCTTACTGTGACACGCTCAGAAGTAACCCACTGCAGTTAACTTGCAGACAGGACCAGAGAGCAGTTGCAGTGTGTAATTTGCAGAAGTTCCCTAAACCTTTACCACAGGAATACCAGGTAAAACGGGTCTGGGGCACAGTTGTAGGAATCAGCTTTTCAAAAGTAGTCTCCATTTTAATTAAAAGAGTAAATTCTCGTAAGTTTCTTAATTTATAAGGCCCTGTTTGTTTTCCATAAGTTAGAAAAAAATGGAATAATGCTTCCATTTCTTTATAACTAATGTCCTAATTGATAGCACTTAGTTAAAATCTAGCAGTGTCTTACAATAATGGCAAGAAGAATTTGAATATTTGATCTGTTTTTACCTGTTTATGCTTTCTAATTATTTCCAAAATCTTGCTATTTAAATTCCTCTAATCTACACAGAAAAAAAATCTTTAAAGAAAATAACTTAAGTACTCTAATCCAATTAATTAGAAGACTTGGAAACTCTGCTTTGGAAAAGATTTGATTCATGGGATCCTAAAGATTTAGGAAATGGTCCCACATATCTTGTCTGGATCTCTGATTTGACCTTTATGTTTCTTTTTATGTTTTATCCTTTTTTTTTTTTTTTTTTTTTTTTTTGAGACAGAGTCTCACTCTGTTGCCCAGGCTGGAGTGCAGTGGCATGATCTCAGCTCACTGCAGCCTCCCCTTCCCAGGTTCAAGTGATTCTCGTGCCTCAGCCTCCTGAGTAGCTGGGTTTACAGCTGCGAGCCACCATGCCTGGCTAATTTTCATATTTTTTAGTAGAGGTGGAGTTTTGCCATGTTGCCCAGGCTGGTCTCGAACTCCTGGCCTCAAGTGATCCATGTGCCTCGGCCTCCAAAAGCACTGGGATTACAGGTGTGAGCCAACATGTCTGGCTACTTTTTGTATTTCTAATAGAGATGGGGTTTCACCATGTTGGCCAGGCTGGTCTCGAACTCCTGACCTCATGTGATCCACCCACCTCAGCCTCGCAAAGTGTTGAGATTACAGGTGTGAGCCCCCGCGCTTGGCCATGACCTTTACATTTCTTGTTGCCAAAGCTATCTTTAAAAAGCCTCATCTGTACCTGCTATTTACAAAGGAACCTTTTGTCAGAAATGATGTCTCAGAAGCTAATTTAAAATAAAGCTGCTGAATTTTAAGCTTCCTACACATATTTATAAGCTCATTGAATGCTTCAGATACCATAAAATAGCAAATGTATTCATAGGCATAGTAATATAACTCAAAAATGTAACATCTTTAAAAATTTCTCTGGTGCATCCAGGGGTGAAAAAACACATAAAATTATTTTATTTTCATTTATTTATTTATTTTTGGAGATGCAGTCTTGCTGTCACCCAGGCTGGAGTGCAGTGGTGTGATCTTGGCTCACTGCAACTTCTGCCTCCCAGGTTCAAGCAATTCTCCTGCCTCAGCTTCTCAAGTAGCTGGGACTACAGCTGTGCACCACCATGCCCAGCTAATTTTTGTATTTTTTTTTTTTTTTAGTAGAGGCGGGGTTTCACTATATGTTGGCCAGGCTGGTCTTGAACTCCTGACCTCAGGTGATCCGCCCACCTTGGCCTCCCAAAGTGCTGGGATTATAGGCGTGAGCCACCATGTCCGGCCATAAAATTACTATAAAAAAGAAAGGAACAATAAAATTTATCTGGTGCCTTGTACCTTTGGCATTCAAAGTATTTTTTATATATGATCTCATTTATTTTCTCAGATTTTAATTTTTTCAAGTTTGTCAAAACAATGTGTAAACTGCCTCCTAAAAACTCTTGAAAAATATATTTAAAATGTAACTTTATGCATTAGTTTTATATTTTGTCAACTCTTAAAACTTCTTTTTACTCAGTGTAATTAAAACTATTTCATTCGTTTAAAACATTAGTCTAATTGAACATTGTAATACATAACTTAAGACTCATTTACTTACCTTGTTTATTTGTAGAACTATAGCAACCTTAAATTACTCCTCTGGTGGTTTACTACTGTCTTCTTTATTTGGTGCAGTGGATGAAGAAAAGTACTTTAGTATCTTGTGTTATATGGCATTAGAGGGTTGCAAAATATTACCTGTGCACTTCCTCTTGTTTATACAGAATGTTTCTTTCTTGTCTTCCCAATATTTGTTCTGCAGTACTTTGATGAACTCAGTGGGATACCTGCAGAAGATTTGCCTTATTATGGTGGCTCCGTGGAAATTGCTGACTATTGCCCTTTCAGTCAGGAATTCAGTTGGCATTTAAGTGGTGAATATCAGCGCAGCTCAGATTGTAGAATATTGGAAAATCAACCAGGTTAGTCGGCTAGTGAAATGAAGTTTAATATACATATTAAAATTATATATCAGCAATATAGAATAGTGGTTAAGGGCACAGACCCTAGAGCAGAACGGTCTTAATTTGCTTTATAGTTCAGCTGCTATCCATATGTAAGAAGTGACTTAGCTTTTCTCTGCCTGTTTCTTCATCTGTACAATGGAGACAATACTTATAGAGTTGTGAGAATTAAATGAATTAACGTAGTAAGTGCTTGCAACTGTGCCTGACCTATCGAAGGGATTATTAGCGTATGCATGCACACACTATATTTTAGTCATACCTTCTAGCTGCATGGCACTTTCCATTTGCAAACCACTTTCATTCTTACCATTTTATTCTTCTGAAAACATTATGAGAAACATAAGGAAGACATTACTGTATTTCCCAGATAAGCGGATAGATACTAAGTAATATAGTTAATTTGTGTCAGTGCAAGATCCTCCAATGCCAACCTCTTTTTATTAAAACACCTTAGATAAGCTGCTTTTCCCTCTCATGGGGAATGTGCGTTTTATGTAAGTTAGAAGCAACATGTCACTCTTCAGATGTCAAAACAATGTTCTTGTCTCATGGCCAGTAAGATATGTTACCGTATTATTTGTTTCCTCTTAACACATATAAATGAACAAGCTATCAAAGGAATAAAGAATTGGATATTCTGCAGTAAGTTACTGCTCATACTAATTACCTTTGTAAACAGAAATGTTCTCACATCTGATGTAAGAAAGGGCAGTAAGTAGTTTTTCTCTCTGTGTTCATCAGAAGTTTTAACCTAGTCTCCAAACCCCCACCCCCATTCCATACTTTATTACAGACTAAGGCATTTATATTCTAAATTTTTGTATTCTTACCTTTTACTCTTAAATTTGGCAGATGTAACTGGATTCCTGCAGCGTTTTTCCCCATCACTCATCTATTTAATAAATGTCCTGCCCAGGCACAGTGGCTCGTGCCTGTAATCGCAGCACTTTGGGAGGCCAAGGCAGGTGCATTGCTTGAGCTCAGGAGTTTGAGGCCAGCTGAGCAACATAGTGAAACCCTGTCTGTATCAAAAATACAAAAAATTAGCCAGGTGTGATGGTGCACACCTGTGGTGCCAGCTATGCAGGAGGACGAGGCTGGAGGATTGCTTGAGTAGCCCAGGAGGTGGAGGTTGCAGTGAGGCGAGATCATGCCACTGCACTCCAGCCTGGGCAACACAGTGAGACCCCATCTCACATAAAAATACAGAATGAATAAATAAATAAATAAATAAATAAATAAATAAATATCCTAACAACTTGTAACTACTCAGCAGTTCCGTATTAAAGCAAAAGAAATGCACAGATCTGTCGGCTATGGATTTGCCAGAGATGTACTATCACATGTTATTGTTTTAGAGGTGGAGTTGGCAAACTTTTTTTGTAACGGGCAAAATTATAAATATTTGAGGCTTTGTGGGTCGTCAAGTCTCTGGCTTCCTGATTCAGCTCTTCAGCTGTGCTGTTACAGTCTGAAAGCAGTGACAGACCATATGTAAATGAATGAATGTGTTAGGATTTGGCCTGAGGGTTATAGTTTGCTGAATTCTGTTTTTTTATTATTATTATTTTTTAGAGATGAAGTCTCACTCTGTCACCTAAGTTGGAGTGCAGTGGCACCATCATAGCTCACTGTAACCTGTAACTCCTGGGCTCAAGTGATTCTCCTGCCTCAGACTCCCCAGAGCCAGGACTACAGGTGTGCACGAGGCTTGCTGTGTTACCCAGACTGGCCTCAAACTCCTGGCCTCAGGCAGTCCTCCCTCCTTAGCCTCCCAAAGTGTTGAAATTATAGACTTGAGCCACCACGTCCAGCCCGGAACCCCATTTTAGACACTGATCACTATACTTTTCAAAGACTCTGATACTCAAAAGAAGTAAAGAATTCTGTTTTATTCTAATTTGCATTTTTTCTTAGCTTATATGTTAAGATTTATTATCAAAACTGACGTAAAACACTTATCTTTATAATATTTCAAAATGGGCTAATTGAACTTTCTACTTCCCAAAATAAAACTTATTGTGAAGAGTCTAAAGAGAGGAAATTATTGCTTGGGTTTAAGAGCTTTGTCCCTTTGTCCATTAGGTATTTAGAGGCCTTTCATTCCACCCTGTCCTCTCCAGGTTTGTGCTTAATGTGAGATTAGATCAGCATCTTACTAGGTTGGTGCAGGAGTAATTGTGGTTTTGCCATTAAAGTAATGCAAAAACTTCTGCACCAACCTAATATTTATGGACTTCCAGGAGGTGACACAAGTTGAAGATATAAAAAAGTTTTCAGAAGTTGCAACACCCCCCAAAAGTCTGCATTATAGAAATCACTTGGCCTCATCCTATCATGGGTCATTTGGAGGTGCCTCCTATTTAGACCACCAGTGAAGATGATTCTTATATTGGTGTCTCGTGATCTAGTGATTCTTAGTGCTAGTTCTTCTGTATATTTAACCTAGAAAACTTTGGGCCCAGTTTTATTCCCTTGTGTCTGATACAGTAGTGTTCTCCTGTTAATCATTAAGAACCTAGTGTGAGTTTGGAATCCTGTCTATCCTAATTTTTTAAATTTAAAATTTCCATGAAACATGTTTGATTTTTAAAGCAATTTTTAATCATAAAAATGGAATGCTTCAGTTTCTTGTTCTTTGAGCCAGAAGTCAATTTTTAAGGAGACTTTTCTTCTTTGCCTCAGAAATTTTTAAGAACTATGGCGCTGAAAAGTATGGACCTCATTCAGTTTGTCTAATTCAGAAATCAGCATTTGTTATGGAAAAGTGTGAGAGGAAGCTGAGTTACCCAGACTGGGGGAGCGGATGCTATCAGGTAAGCTTATGTTTGTTTTTAGTTATGCCAAATATTGTGTGATTTTATCTCTTTTATGGTTGTGTATTTTAAATTATATTTTCATATTTTTATGTAATTAATTTACTGATCAATACTTTATCTTGTTTATGTAAATATTAGTTTAGATGCTTATGTTTTATGAAAATACTGTCATTTCTTTAGAAAAACTGCCTCTTAAAAATATGTATATAATTGCTGTAATGTTACTTCTGGGCATATATTCTGAGGAAGTAATGGCAAATATGTACTTTTGTTCTTGAGCAAATATTACTTTGTAATGGAAAAAATGTACAATTTTTTTTCAAAAGGTCTGAGGACTGCATGGGTTATAAGAATTAGTAAATCAGGCTGGACATGGTGGCTCACGCCTGTAATCCCAGCACTTTGGGAGGCTGAGCCAGGAGGATCGCTTGAGCCCAGAATTCGAGACCATCCTAGGCAACAAAGTGAGACCCTTTCTCTAAAAAATAAAGAAAAAGGAATTAATATATCAGTTGCTGATTAATAATAGGGTCTTTTTTCCTTTGTAATTAGAAATCCAAAAAGGGCAAACTACAATTTTTTTTTTCTTTTTCTCTTTTTTGAGACAGGGTCTTGCTGTCAGCTAGGCTGGAGTGCTGGTGCAGTCATGGCTCACTGTATCCTCCACCTCCTGTGCTCAAGCGACCTCCCCACCTCAGCCTCCTGAGCAGCTGGGACTACGGGTGTGCACCACACACCCGACTACGTTTTTGATTTTTTGTAGAGAAGAGGTCTCACTATGTTGCCGGGGCTAGATTAGAACTTCAGGGCCCAAGCAATCCTCTTTTTTTTTTTTTTTTTTTTTTTTTGAGATGGAGTCTCACTCTGTCACCCAGGCTGGAGTGCAGTGGTGCAATCTCGGCTCACTGCAAGCTCCGCCTCCCGGGTTCCAGAGGTTCTTGTGTCTCAGCCTCCTGCACAGCTGGAATCACAGGCATGCACCGCCACACCCAGTTAAGTTTTGTATTTTTAGTACAAAAATTGTCCAGGCTGGTCTCAAACTTCTGGCCTAAACTGATCCTCCCGCCTTGGTCTCCCAAAGTGCTGGGATTACAAGCATGAGCCACCATGCTTGGCCGAATATTTCTTTTTTTTCTGTCACAAGATATTCTAAGCTCTCTTTGTTCTTTGTCTGCCCCTGACATGTAATTAACCATTTCTCTAAAGACCTGCAGTTACTTTCAGTGAAGTGTGGTGTTTAGAGACTAAGATCTGGGTGCTGATTACACTGTTCATTGCCATTGATAATCGCAGTTGGGAACTGGGAATACCAGTTCATCAGGCCCTCTTAGTAAGGCAGGAAATGTATGTATATGTATCAGTACACTCTCCTGTGACTGTGTGTGTGTAACCATGAGTTCGCATCAGTAAGGCTGGTTTGATTCCATTGGTGTGAGAACTTGTCTGACACCAAAGGATTTATTTTAGTTTTCCACCTTTTCATATTTGTACTTCCTTCACCAACAGTGAGAAATCCAGCTCCTGTCATCTCAGTATGTTTACTCATTTGATCTATCCACATCCTGTCCACTTTCTCTCACTCCCATCACCCTCCTCACCCGGCCAACTCTGCGTGACCTCCCGGTCACACGCCTCCCCTGCCCCTCCATACAGATCACCTACCTTTCCTCACTTAACGGCTTTAGACGTAATTACTTTTGAGGAAGGGGAAAGGAGAAAGGGAGGGATCGCTGAGCTTTGTTTTCTTAAAATTGTGGCAAAATAGATATAACACAAACATTTCCACTGTAACTGTTTTTACTTGTACAGTTAAGTGGCACTAAATGCATTCACGTTGTCGTGCACATCACCACTCTGCGTCTCACAGGTTTTCATGATCCCAAAAACTGAAACTCTGTACTCACTCAACAATCCCTCCCTGTTCCTCCTCCCCCAGCCCTGACAGCCTCTATTCTCTGTTCTCTCTGTAGATTTGCCTAATCTAGGTAGTCCTTATAAGTAGAATCATACAATATTTGTCCTCTTGCACCTGACTTCTTTTACTTAGCATGGCGTTGTCAGGACGCATCCACACTGTGGCATGTATCAGAACGGTTTTCCTTTATATGTCTGAATAACACTCCATTGTATGGATCTGTCACGTTTTGAATCAGTTGACGGACACTGAGGTCGTTTGCATCCACCTCTTGGCTGTTGGGATCTTGCTGCAGTGAACACTGGCTTCCGTGTATCTGTCTGACTCCCTGTTTTCAGTCTTCTCGGGAGTAGAATTGCTGTATCATATGGCAATTCTGTGTTCAGCTTTCCTAGGAACTACCAGACTAGGTTTTTTGTTGTTGTTGAGGGGTTTTTGGTGTTATTTTGAGGTTTATTTTTTATTATTATTAATAGACTTTATTTTTTAGAACAATTTTAGGTTCACAGCAAATTTGAGCAGAAGGTACAGAGAGTTCCCATATTCCCCTGCTCCACACACACGTGGCCTCCCACGCCGTCAGCATCCTGTACCACAGAGGTATTTTTGGTGCCATCGATGAACCCAGATCATCGTCCGAAGTCCGTGTTCACATTAGGTTCTCTCCGGGTGTTTTATGTTCTGTGGGCTTTGACACCTGTAGGATATGCGTCCATAAGATAATGAGTTGTTGAAATGGGCTTTGTTATAAGTTACAGATTGGCTATCTGTGGCTAAATAATTGCTGTGATGAACATAAATAAGAATAAGTGAAATAAAAAGTGGGATGAAATGCTTCAGGTGCAAGTTCAAAGGGGACTGTATTTTCTCTGTACAAAAGACACCTTGAGGCGCGTGTTTTCATGTCAACCCTTTGTGTTCTTAGCATGTTTTTCCTGATGAAACTGAGGTCCTGGGCCTTACCACAACACCGTTTGTGCTGATGGCACCTTTTAATATAAATTTTTAAGTAATTTATATATTTATTAAGTAAGTCAGCAATTCACATGGTGAAAAATTCAAAAGATGCAAAAGAATGTACAGGAAAAGCCTTTGTCCCAGCCCTGTCTTTCAGTCACTCATTTCTCCCTTCAGAGGGAGTTAACATTACCAGTTTCTTGTATCCTTGTAAAGATAAACTCTGTGCAGGCACACATTTATATTTTTGTTTCATTTTTTACACCAATAGTATCAAGTTACACATACTGTTCTGTGGTGTGTATTAAAGAGCCATTCTTAGTATCATCTTATATCATTCTAGCCCCGTGTCTGAACTGACTGTGGATGTCACAAGTACATTCGGTTGCAGTTTGATCACTCTGAATTCCGTTCATCCAGAATCCAGTTTATGAGCCCTCTCTCAACAACTCTGCATTTCAGCTGTGTTGCTTCCAGCACTGGTCCCAGTCTCTCTAATTAGAAACCAGAATGATTGTTTTCTATTCTCTGTTCTGTAAAGACGGATCAATACAGACTAAGTCTTTAGATTACTCTCCTATTGAAATCTCTTATATCTATTTTATTTTAGATTTACCTTCATAGTTCAAGCCATTATCACTTCACAGTTTCCTAACTAATTTTCCTCCTCTCATCTTCCTTCCATGACCACATTGATCCTTTTTAAATTTTAGTTTTGATCAAACTTATACATGCAAATAGTTTGAAACTAATTTGTTGTCTGCTTCCAAAAAACTACGGCCTCAGGCCAGGCGCTGTGACTCATGCCTGTAATCCCAGCCCTTTGGGTAGCTGAGGCTAACACTTGAGGTCAGGAGTTCTAGACCAGCCTGGGCAACATGATGAAACCTTGTCTCTACTAAAAATACAAAAATTAGCCAGGCATGGTGGCTGCTTGCCTATAATCCCAGCTATTCAGGCGGCCGAGGCATGAGAATCTCTTGAACCTGGGAGACGGAGGTTGCAGTGAGCCGAGATTGCACCACTGCACTCCAGCCTGGGCAATGGAGTGAGACTACATCTCAAAAACAAACAAACAAACAAAACACACAAAAAACTAGAGCCTCTGTTATTACTTCCTTAACGTTTATTACTTCTTCCCAGAGTCTTCACTTTCAATTCTTAGTTGTTGTTTTGTTGGGGTGGAGGAGTCAGGGGAGACTTACTATTTGCTTTCTTATTTTTTTTATTATTATTACTTTTTTTGAGATGGAGTCTTGCTCTGTTGCCCAGGCTGGAATGCAGGTGGCATAATCCCTCGGCTCACTGCAACCTCCGCTTCCCAGGTTCAAGTGATTCTCCTGCCTCAGCCTCCCAAGTAGCTGGGATTATAGGCACCTGCCACCATGCCTAGCTAGTTTTTTTTTTTTTTTTTTTTTTTAGTAGAGACAGAGTTTCACCATGTTGGCCAGGCTGGTCTCCAAATCCTGACCTCAAGTGATCCACTTGCCCCGGCCTCCCAAAGTGCTGGGATTACAGGCACGAGCCACTGCACCCGGCCTGCTTTTTTATTTTTAAAAAGCTTATATTATTCTTTCATAAGGTTTGAATTTCAGATGTTAGCTGTTGACTTTAGAAAATAAGAATTTAGTTGGTTCACCTCCTCCTCTTGCTGTGTTCGCTTCCTATTTCCCCATCATAGACTTCTTGTTTCCCCTTCCCCCATTGGTGATTATGGATCAACATGTGTTCACTGTTTACGTTTCCATGACTATGCAAACGTGGCGCCTGGTAGCACGCAATGATTACTTCCCTATTCTCCCCAGTATTTCATTTTCTCCAGATTTAATATCTTGTTTTTTCATGAAATTAGTTTTCTTTGTATTTAGCACTAATTTAATTCTAAGCTGTTCTCCCAGTTGGGCTCATCTCCTTTCAGTACAACCAGATACCTGAGGTGTTCTATCCATTTCATCTTGGGGAAATCTCTTCTGAACATTTCTGGCCTGTGCTCATCTCGACTATGTAATCCTATGTTGACAGCACAACTGGCATCTTGGGATCTCGAGTCAGGATCATCCTGGAGGTCCCGCTGGGATCTCAAGTTAGGGTCATCCTGGAGGTTCTCTGGTCCCTCTGTCTCTCTCATATTGGATCCCCTACTTTGTGGATTTTGTGTCGTATTCTTTTTTGGATTTCTTTTTAATTTTAATGGAACATATCTTCTAGTGGAGATTTGAGGAGTATGTGACAGAGAACAGCGTTGAGACTTGCATGTCTGAAAGCATCACTGTTCTACTGTGACGCCTGCTGATAGCATGGGAAGGCGGGACTTCACCTGCCTCACCTCTGCCCTCAGGGTCTTCAGCTAGGCCTGAGAATGAAGTAGACATAAGCCCGATGAACAGGAGGAAAACACACATTTATTTAATCTAAGTTTTGCATGACACAGGAGCCCGCATGAGTAAATGAAAACTCAGAGAAGTGGTAAAACCTATATACTTTTATACTACGTTGAACAAAGGGAGACAGTTATGGAAAAGTAAAATGTATGGAGAGGCTAAAGGAAGCTAAGAATTATTTTAAGAAGGTCTGTTTGTACCAAATTCTTTGGCTTTGACTCCCTATATTGGTGATAAGAAGGTTTCTTTTCTCCTGGAAAAGGAAGGACATTATTCATGTGGGAGTTTTATCTCCTGCTTTCAGGAGGAAAGGGGGAGGTCAGAACAGTGTCGTTGGGTCTGCTGTGTTTAAGTCCCTTTAGCTGGAAACCTTTGTGCCAAAATAGCATATTTTGGAGTGGTGTGTTCTGCCATCCTTCGATAGCTTGAGTGGGTGTAGCTTTCTTTTTGAAAATTATTTTCCTAATGAATGATTGGATGCAGGAAAAAAAAAAGAAAATTATTTTCCATCAGAATTCTGAGAGGATTTTTCCTCTGTATCCGAAGTCTCAATGTCATTCTGAGTTTCGATTGCCAGAATCTTTCTTCTTTCTTCTCTGGAAGCTGGTAAATTCTTAATTTTAGCTCGCATACCACATCCCCACCTGCCACAAGCCCCAGTATTCCAAAATTTAATGGGTTGATTCTATTTTTGGTGATCATTAACAGCCTGTTCATATTCAAGAAGTGACTGGGGCCTGGCACAGTGGCTCACGCCTGTAATCCCAGCACTTTGGGAGGCCGAGATGGGCGGATCACTTGAGGTCAAGAGTTTGAGAGCAGCCTGGCCAACATGTTGAAACCCCTCATCTACTAAAAATACAAAAATTAGCCCTGTGTGGTGGTGGGCACCTGTAATCCCAGCTACACAGGAAAAAAAAAAAAAAAGAAAAAAGAAAAAAGAAGTGGCTGGCAGGCAGTTTGGAAGCTCTGAGCACACATAGGGCTTGCTGACTGTGGTCTTCACTATAGGGCTCCTTCCTTACAAAACCTTTGATATCTGTGTCTTGAGGGGTTTCCCTTTTGACTGGTCAGATTTGTCAGAAACTACCAGTCTCCCGCCTGAAGTTTATATGCTGTGAGAGTTCTAGGAAGTAAGTCAATTTCAAATGCTAAGTAGTCTCAATATTTAATCTGTAAACTTAAGAGTCCTTATTTTGATGATGGCAGCCCAGTTCTCACCTGTACTTAGTTTCCCCCAGAACAGAAAAACTCTGTTTTACCCTTTCCAAAAAATAAATCTCTATGATTCTGCAGAATACAAGAAGCCTAGTGCTGGCCTGGGCTTCTGGTGATGTTTCAGGAAGCCTACAATCATGGCAGAATGCAAAATGGGAGCAGACATATCACATAGAGAGGGAACGAGAGAGGAGGGAGGTCCCAATCTCTTGAACAAGCAGATCTCTGGGGAATTTATTCCCGTGGGGAGGGCACCAAGCTATTCATGAGGGATCCATCCCCGTGACGCAAACACCTCCCACTAGGCCCCACCTCCAGCACTGGGAATCACATCTCAGCAGAAGATTGGAGTGGACAAATACCCAAACTGTATCAGCTGGGTTCAGAGCAAACAGTGGTCCAGGTGAGGAAGAGGAATGCTGGGGTCTGCTTCTGAAATGGACTTTTATCTGATCCTTGTAATTGTAGCTCTTACTTCTTGGCACCGGGTGCGGGTGTGGCGGTCCTGAGCCTTCTTTGTGTTCTGCAAATCAGTTTCTTCCTGGTTCTTCCTGCTGCTGGATTTTGACTCAGCTTTCCTGAGTCTATTATGTCTGCTACTACTTGTACATCTACCCTCCTGCCCACGCTTAATTCCCAGAATTCCACAATGAGAATACTTCAGCTTCAGCAAGGGAGTTTTCCTCTTGTCCTATCAACACTCTCATATAATTCTCATCTCCAAGCCATGTGCATTCTGCTTCCCAACCTGTAATATCTGCCCTACGGTGATCCATGATCCAAATCCTGGGTACATCCTTAGCATACAAATGCTTTCTTCCATGAAACTTTCTAATATTTGTTCTTGTTTCTACCATTTATTGACTCTTAATCATAAAATAGTCTGGTACTATTCAGTTTTTGCTTTTTCTTCTAATTTCAAAATACTGTTAGTATTTTATTTAAAAAGTATTATTATTTTTATTGTCTTTTTTTTTTTTTTTTTTTTGAGATGGAGTCTCACTCTGTCACCCAGGCTGGAGTGCAGTGATGGGATCTCAGCTCACTGCAACCTTTGCCTCCTGTGTTCAAGTGATTTTATGCCTCAGCCACTTGAGTAGCTGGGACTACAGGCGCCCACCATTTTTAGCGCCAAATTAGCGCCTGGCTCATTTTTGTGTTTTTAGTAGAGATGGGGTTTCGCTAGGTTGGCCAGGCTGGTCTCGCACTCCTGACCTCAGGTGATCCACCTGCCTTGGTGTCCCACAGTGCTGGGATTAATAATCAGGCATGAACCACGGTGCCCAGCTGAAAAAAAAAAATTTGTATCCTACTCATCTTTCCTCAATGGAAACTGCTAGAGGGCAGGCACTGTATCATGTACTTTTTTAGTATCCTTTTCAGCACCAAGCACAGTGCTCGACCAAGTCTCACTTTAAAGAATAATGACGTTGCACTGTAGCTGTGTTGATGTTTACTTGATGTGGATCACTGAAAGACAGACTTATAGAAGAGGTCACACTTCATTGTTTGTTTTTGTGAAAAACAAATTTTCAAAAGAGTGATATATTTCAACTTAACTGATGATAGAGTTATTTCAAAATGACTTCAAATATACTTTTGAACTCTTCTTTTGAAATTATATTTAGAAGTAGTTTGTCACCTAAGGAAATCAATCTTAGTAATTTTGTGTCACACCTTGTATTTACCAGTTTAGTTAACTACCTTTACTGGACTTGGTTCTGGGCAACTTTGGGCTATTTCCAAAAATTATATCTACTTGCCACGTAAAAATTTGCTACTATCAGACAGGTTCAGAAGCGTGCACTGACTATGAAGATAGTTCCAAGAGAGAAGTTTCAGAAGTATTTAAAGGGAAGTAGCATAATTGAATGTAAAGTCTTTGTAGAAAACAACTTTGAGGGTTTTTTAAAAATAGTTAAATTTTTGGCTGGGTGCAGTGGCTCATGCCTGAAATCTCAGCACTTTGGGAGGCCAGGGTGGATGGATAACTTGAGTCTAGAAGTTCGAGACCAGCCTGGGCAACATGACAAAACCCAAACCCCATTTCTACAAGAAAATACAAAAATCAGCCCGGCATAGTGGCACATGCCTGTGGTCCCAGCTACTCAGGAGGCTGAGGTGGGGGATCACCTGAACCTGAGGTAGTCAAAGCTGCAGTGAGCCAAAATCACCACTGTATTCCAGCCTGGGCAACAGAGTGAGATCCGTCTCAAAAAAAAAAAGAAAAAAACTCTGTGTGTGTAAAAGCTCTGTGTGTGTGCCCCCTTGTAATTTTTGGGAAAAGTGTCCATAGCTTGCATCAGATTCTTTAAAAGGTGCTAGATTCAAAGTTTAAGAACTCCTGCCACACAGAGTGTAATTCTTTTAGGACCTAAATAACTTAACCCTCTTTTTTTTTTTGAGACGGAGTCTTACTCTGTTGCCAGGCTGGAGTGCAGTGGCGCGATCTCGGCTCACTGTAATGTCTGCCTCCCAGGATCAGGTGATTCTCCTGCCTAAGCCTCCTGAGTAGCTGGGACTACAGGTGCCTGCCACCACACCCAGCTAATTTTTGTATTTTTAGTAGAGACAGGGTTTCACCATGTTGGCCGGGATGGTCTCGATCTCTTGACCTCATGATCTGCCTGCGTCAGCCTCCCGAAGTGTGGGATTACAGGTGTGAGCCACCGCGCCTGGCCAACTTAACTCTTTATATGAGGTTAAAGATATGCCCACACTGCAAATTGTGCTTTATTCCCAACGTTTTTTGTAAATTTTAATGTATTTTCCTGTAGTTGAAGGAGAAATCTCTTAGAATCTTACTGACCTGATATTTATTATTTTTATATATTTTTTCCTGTTTGAAGGTTTCTTGTTCTCCTCAAGGTCTGAAAGTTTGGGTCCAAGATACTTCATATTTGTGTAGTCGGGCTGGGCAGGTCCTCCCCATCAGTATCCAGATGAATGGCTGGATTCATGATGGAAACCTACTCTGCCCATCGTGTTGGGACTTCTGTGAGCTCTGTCCTCCAGAAACAGATCCTCCAGCTACTAACTTGACCCGAGCTCTGCCACTGGGTGAGTGCTCTCTATGGTTGGAATAAAGAGGGAAAAGTAAAGGGGCAAACTTCTCTTATAAAATGTTGGCATCCCTTCAAGGAAGCTCTAAAACAAGTTGAGTTTCTTCCCTTCTGATTGCATTTTTATGGGAAAATCCTCCTTCCCACCATTATTAGAAATCTAAGATAGGTCAACTTGACACTTGTGAGTAAGAGCAAGGCTTTCTGGTGAAGAACCTCTGAGTTGCACAAAATTATTCATCAAGGACCACAAAAAGTGAACGTTGTATCCATTCATTTGGAAATTAAGGGTAAACAAAATGCTGCTCATTAAATACAAAAAGTGATTAAATATATTTTAGTCATATCATAATCAGCTGAAGTGAAAGTGAGGGAAAGATCTGGAAAAGATACTCAAAAAAGGAATTGGCATACCCACAAAGAGGAGAAAAATGCAAGGAGGCACAAATAACCCACATGCAAAATGAGACACAGAGACATGGGCTGGCAAAGACCGGGGGTTCACTGAGGAATAGGACCGTGTGCTCGTTCTGAGACTCCAGAGAATGGAACTGGCACCAAGAGATTGAAGCTGTGAGGAGGCAGATGCCAATTAAACCCTTTAGAAGCAGGAGGGGATGCAGAAGACGCCCTTGAGAAGAATCGTTCCCCTTGAAATTGACGGTGTTCCAACTGAGGCTGATAACGCATTGCTGAGAGTAGAAAAGCAGAATTCATGAATTCACAAAGTTTTGATTTAAATGACCTATGAGATTTTTATGGCAGTTTGACATTTCAGATTATGAACAATAAAAATCTTACGCAGTGTTGGCTGGGCGCGGTGGCTCACGCCTGTAATCCCAGCACTTTGGGAGGCTGAGGCAGGCGGATCACGAGGTTGACACCATTCTAGCTAACATGGTGAAACCCCGTCTCTACTAAAAAAATACAAAAAAGTAGCCAGGCGTGGTGGTGGGCGCCTGTAGTCCCAGCTACTCGGGAGGCTGAGGCAGGAGAATCACTTGAACCCAGGAGGCGGAGCCAAGATCACACCACTGCACTCCAGCCTGGGCAATAGAATAAGACTCTGTCTCAAAATGAATAAATAAATAAAAGCTCATCTTTATTGTTTAAAATATTTAAAAGGACAACTCATCCTAAAATAAGGTCAGGTTGGCCTCATCTCCCTACTGCTATAAAAATGTTTCCATTATGAGAACTGTTTTTACCTATAAGGACATATCATGGCTGAATTAAAATACACCTCTAGTGCCCCAAATCTGTAGAATCTTCTGCTGTTTCAAAACAAGTCAGATTGATTGGTGATATGAATGGATAGGTAGATATTTAGAAACACGGGACCATATGTCCTGGTCTGGCTGAGACCATCCATATGCCTGTTGTCATTATTAATAGTCCTCTCCCTCGCATCCTCGCGGTCCGTCTGCCTGTTGTCGTTATTAAGAGTCCTCTCCCTTGCATCCTCGCAGTCCGTCTGCCTGTTGTCGTTATTAAGAGTCCTCTCCCTTGCATGCTCGCAGTCCGTCTGCCTGTTGTCGTTATTAATAGTCCTCTCCCTTGCATGCTCGCAGTCCGTCTGCCTGTCGTCGTTAATAGCCCTCTCCCTTGCGTCCTCGCAGTCCATCTGTCTGTCGTCATTATTAATAGTCCTCTCCCTTGCATTCTCAAAATGTGCTAGTTTTGGTTGATAAATTATATGATCAGCCTACTTAGAAGGTACAAAGAAAAAATAAAAGAAGAAAGTTCTTCACCCCATCTCACAATAACCAAGATATTAATTTACTTTCCTGTGTATTATCTTTAGCTTTGCTGGGTTACTACCCCAAGGCAATTTTTTTTGGATACCATTTTTTATCCTTGGTATAGTGGATACATCATTTCTTCCTCCATATGTATGTTTCCTCCATTAAAAAAGAAACAAAAACTTTTTTATACCTGGGTTTCGCTCTTGATTTAGCTCTCAAGGTGGTCCTTGTTTACCTTTTAATAATCACTGCTATTCATCTGTCAATATTTAATTGGTATGATTTATCCCAAAAATGTTTATAGAAAGTCAGCTTTTTGTTTTCAACTCTAGATCTTTGCTCCTGTTCCTCAAGCCTGGTGGTCACCCTCTGGCTTCTGCTAGGCAATCTGTTTCCTCTACTGGCTGGATTTCTTCTGTGTGTATGGCATTAGGAATGGAAAAGTGGATCTTCAAGATATCCTTTTATGTTATGTTCATGTGAACAAAGCACAAAGTTTGAGTGAGTGCCAGCCTATGCAGATGGCAGAAGTGGCATTCCTGAATTTGGCTTAGAAGAGTTGATGACCATCAGACCTTAAAACAGAACTTCACAGCTGCCTGTCCTCATCAGCAACCCAGCCACCTTCATCAGCAACCCAGCCACCTTCATCAGCAACCCGGCCACCTTCATCAACAACCCGGCCACCTTCATCAGCAACCCAACCACCTCATCTTGGAGAAGGAGAAGGAACTGCAAGTCACTTAGGATTTTTAATCTTCCTAAAGTTTTCCTTTGAAAAAAGGATAATGGGTGGAATTTTCAGAGTGATTACATACCTCAACATTTTTATTAACATATAACAGTGGGAAAGTTCATCATCCGTATACTGCAGTAACTTAAACAACAGCTAATTATTGCAAGATTAGAATTAGAGATCTTGTCCTTAAAAGTATAAATTGTCCTTTGATTTATAGAAAATAATTGAATTGGGATTTCTACATATCATTATTATACCTATTTTAAATTTAATGGCAGCCGGGCATGGTGGTGCATGCCTGTAGTTCCAGCTACTTGGGAGGCTGAGGCAGGAGGATCGCTTGAGCCCAGGAGTTCGAGGCTGCAATGAGCTATGATTGCACCGCTGTATTCCAGCCTGAGCAATAGAGTGAGACCCTGTATCTTTAAGAAAAAAAAATTAATGGCTGTATATAGTAAACTTAATTCACTGTTCCCATTGTTTATTCTAAAGAATTTTTTTTAAATGTTTCATTAAATCTTATGATTTAACCGTGTTTGCCCTTTTTGCCAGCTGTGTGGCAGTTTATGGCAGAACTGCTGTCAGTGTGCTGGTAGCCATCTATTCATTCCTTTTCAGAGCTCAGCTTCCAGAACTGCTATCAGTGTGCTGGTAGCCCTCTGTATTCATCCCTCTTCAGAGCTCAGCTTCCAGTTGTATTCTTCATGAGTTTGATAATGACATGAAAAAATGTGGAAACAGAGAGAGTAAAATACTCTGCCCGGTAAAAACATGGAAGACGTGCAAACAGAAAAAAACATAATTGTATTTTTTTGATAATACTTAAGACAATTGTGATCCAACAAAAACAGAACTATTCCTTTGTGACCGATGAAGATAAGAAATTCTGGCAGACAGGTATGCAGTTTTTTAAAGTGGTTTAAGAAATTATTGCAGAAGAATTTCCAACATCTGAAAATGGTTTTATGTATAAGAAGGAAAATACAAGTTAAAACGAGATGGTCTGAATTGTGTACTAATAGCAAGGTACAAGTTTGGATAGAGCCTATCCAGTAGCGTCCACTGTACCACTTTAAGTAAGACTCAGTCCACAGAAGCTGGAAGATTGCCTTTGCTTTAAATATCCTTTACCTCCTGCATTTGACACTCCTCCTATTACTGGTAACATAGATTCCAGTCACCAGAAGTAATTTTACACTGGTAATAGAGCTTACCAGCCCCATTTAGTAATTCCTATTTGAAATTTCTTAATGTTCAGATGAGGTTTAACAAGAATATGAAAAGAAAAAAATATATATTCATGAATGATAGGCGATGCCCATTGTTTCTCTCAAGCTAATGAAGTCCTGCGGCATTGTAATCACAACCCTCGGACAGACTCCTCCTATTCCTCCATGGCATTGTAACCGCAACCCTCGGACAGACTCCTCCTATTCCTCCATGGCATTGTAACTGCAACCCTCGGACAGACTCCTCCTATTCCTCCATGGCATTGTAAACACAACCCTCAGACAGACTCCTCCTATTCCTCCATGGCATTGTAACCACAGCCTTCGGACAGACTCCTATTCCTCCATGTCATTATAATCACAACCCTCAGACAGACTCCTTCTATTCCTCCATGGCATTGTAAACACAACCCTCAGACAGACTCCTCCTGTTCCTCCATGGCATTGTAACCACAACCCTCGGACAGACTCCTTCTATTCCTCAATGGTGTTGTAACCACAACCCTTGGACAGACTCCTTCTATTCCTCCATGGCATTGTAAACACAACCCTCGGACACACTCCTCCTATTCCTTCATGGCATTGTAACCACAGCCCTCTGACAGACTCCTATTCCTCCATGGTGTTGTAAACACAACCCTCGGATAGACTCCTGTTCCTCCATGGCATTGTAACCACAACCCTCGGACAGACTCCTCCTGTTCTTCCATGTCATTGTAACCACAACCTCAGACAGACTACTCCTATTCCTCCATGACATTGTAAACACAACACTCGGAGAGACTCCTATTCCTCCATGGCGTTGTAACCACAACCCTTGGACAGACTCCTCCTGTTCCTCCATGGCATTGTAACCACAACCTTGGACAGACTCCTCTTATTCCTCCATGACATTGTAAACACAACACTCAGACAGACTCCTATTCCTCCATGGTGTTGTAACCACAGCCCTCGGACAGACTCCTTCTATTCCTCCATGGCATTGTAACCACAGCCCTCGGACAGACTCCTCTTATTCCTCCATGGCGTTGTAACCACAACCCTCGGACAGACTCCTGTTCCTCCATGGCATTATAACCACAACCCTTCGACAGACTGCTTCTCTTCCTCCATGGTATTGTAACCACAACCCTTGGATAGACTCCTCCTATTCCTCCATGGTATTGTAACCACAACCCTCAGACAGACTCCTTATACTCCTCCTTTTCTCGTCCTTCCCTCCTTTTCGTCCATTCAGCATGTAGCTATTCAGTACTCCATTGAAAAAATTGTGCTAAGTGAGCAAAGCAGCATAATTACTAAGAATTAATTCTGATTATTTGGCATTAGAGCCAACAGCAACCCCAGCATAGAGGAAAGTCGCTTTTTTTCAGATGCATAAATTTAAAGTATATATTTGCATGTGGTTTTAAATGGGAGGTTTTTGTCATTGTGAAAAGGTGGGAATCTCAAACATAGTTAACTTAACTAAAAAGAAGCTAATACAGGTTGAGCATTCATAATCCAAAAATCCGGAATTCAAATTGCTCCAAAATCTGAAACTTTCTGAATGCTGACCTGATACCACAAGTGGAAAATTCCGCATATAAGTACTTAACACAAACTTTGTTTCATGCACAAACTACTAAAAATATTGTATAAAATTACCTTCAGGCAGTGTCTGTAGGTATGTATGAAACATGAATTTCATGTTTAGACTTGGGTCCCATGCCCCAGATACCTCATTAGGTATCTGTAAATATCCAAATTCCAAAAAAAGTCTGAAATCTGAAACACTTCTGGTCCCAAGCATTTCAGTAAGTGATGCTCAACCTGCATAATGGTCTGCGGGCCAGTGCTCATTTTCTGCATATGTTGTACACACTTTAAATTGTGCAAAGTCAAAGAAAAGCAAAGAGTCTATTTTTAAAGAAACTTAACAATAATCTAAGCATATACTTATGATTATGAATCATCCTGCAAAGAGCTGTATAAAGAATTTTACCAAAAATACAATGAATTAATCATATATTTGAGAGTCACAGTGATAGGTTTGACTATATTTTGACTGTTGTGTAGTGGCACCATTTAGGTAGTGTTGTTTCTGAGCATGGTGCTTTTTATACTTGAAATATATTTTTGCTTTATTTTTTATTGATATAATTATATTTGCACTAATGGCTTTCTGAAGAAAATATTATAGATGACTTTTTTGTATATATATTTATTAAGCTTGGAAACCTGGTATCCCAGTGTTTTCTCTGGACAAATGTGAAACTGGATAAACTATGGTGTCTAGATAAAGTATGGATAAAGTCTTGAGTTCCTCAGGGTAACTGTGTTGATATCTCCTGTCCTCTTCAGTAAGGCTTGAATATGATTACTGATCATTGATTCTGCATAGTGTATCCAGCAAGGCTTGGAAGGACACTGAACCTGTCAGAGATTTTAAGAGGCACATTTTAGTCACTTCGAATATGATAGTGGCGGGTGCGGTGACTCATGCCTGTAATCCCAACACTTTGGGAGGCCGAGGCGGGTGGATCACTAGGTCAGGAGTTTGAGGTTACAGTGAGCTTGATCACACCACTGCACTGTGCAGCCTGGATGACAGAGGGAGACTCTTTCTTGGGGAAAAAAAAGATGACAGTGAAGCAGACTTCTAGAATCCGAGATGTCATTGCAGCATTATTGGTATAAAATTCAGCTGCAAAGTGGAGAGTTTGAAATGGCCCACGCGTTGGTATCCTGTGGCAGGTTATACCTTCATGTTAGCAAAGACAAAGCCGTGTCTCTGTAAGAGGGACAGACTGGGCTGGCTGCAGCTGTAGTGGAAGTGAGGGATGCAGGGAAGGAATGGGGAGCAGCAATTTGGGGACAGTAGACTGGAGTCACTTTCTGATTCAAAAAGGGTCAAGTACTTATAAAAACTGACTACTTTGGTTTTCAGTTCAGACTTAGGCTCATTTTGATCATTTTAAGGTCCCAGTTGTCAAAAATATCAAGTGAATTTGTCTCAGGTTTTCAGGAACAAAATTTACAGGAAGGAAGCAAAAGCCATGTCAGTAGCCTGGAGCTGACAGCTTTAAAGAAACTGGCAAACAGGTAGGTCGTCCTAATATAGATCCTTCCAGTATTCTCCTGAAAAACATCCTTTTATTTCTGAAAACCAGTAACCCTTACATTTTTCCTATAGGATGCTTATTTTTCTTGAGACCAAATAGACATTCTATAAATGTTATGAATTATGCTTGCAGTTAGTTTTTAGCCTATCTAGGCTTAAGGTTTATTGATATTTGAAGTTGAAACATCATTTTATGAGGTTTAGTTTTAGGAAGGTAAATAAATAAATATATCAAAGTATTCCATAATGTTGTATCAGTGTCCCCTCTAACATTAGAAGACTTACTGACTGAGGCCATCTGTGAACGACTAAGTGATCTCTCAGAATCCTTCCAGCCCTATAGCCTGTGACTAACACTCATCCAGAATTGCGGTCTGTGCTGGCTGTGGTCTGCCTCCAGGAGCATATGCCATCCTGCGTGCTGTGTTCGTCACAGTGTCTGTGCTCGGTGCCTTACCACTGGCCATGTCCTTGGACGCTAAATGGACAGAGAGGAGCCTGTCTCTCAGGGCACATGAGTGGTCATGGCAGGAGGAGACAGGCCTCAGTCACAGTGGACACTCGTCATTCCTGCCATGTCCTTGCAGCCCAGGAGGACTAACAAGATTTTAATGAAGTCTGTGTTACTCATTCTGAAGAAAAGAACTTACCTGAGAGGAAGAATATTTTTTAAATATATATTAGATTGGGGATGGGGAGGGAGTGGTTGTTTTCTTTTGTGTTTACGTTTTTAATAACTAAAATAGAAGATTTAAGAATATTTATGGTATTGAACTTTAAGTGTAATATGTTTCTTAGAAAAAGACAACTTTAATAAAAATGGAAACTAATTTGCATCCTCTCTTTTTTTAACACTATCAGTTTTTGTTTGTTTTTGTTTTGTTTTGTTTTGTTTTTTTGAGACGGAGTCTTGCTCTGCCGCCCAGGCTGTGTAGTGCAGTGGTGCAATCTCGGCTCCCTGCAGGCTCCACCTCCCGGGTTCATGCCATTCTTCTGCCTCAGCCTCCCGAGTAGCTGGGACCAGAGGTGCCCGCTAATTTTTTGTATTTTTAGTAGAGACGGGGTTTCACTGTGTTAACCAGGGTGGTCTCAATCTCCTGACCTTGTGGTCCACCCGCCTTGGCCTCCCAAAGTGCTGGGATTACAGGCTTGAGCCACCGCGCCCGGCCAATACATTGTGTTTTTAAAGTTGTACAGACTGCATATAAGTGGCTGAAACTATACACAATAAATTACTTCAGATAAATACAATATTATTTGCCCAGCATATTGAAGATAAAGCTGTATCTCATGTATGACTTTGTTTACACTACTTTTGGATATGTCCATAGAATATAGTTTATTTTAGGGGGCATTATTACATAAATTAGTCTTTTGTTCACAACCTCAGCAGTAGTTATGCAGAAATGGAGGGGTTTATTTAAATTACCTTTGTTGGGATGCCATTAGAAGTTTATTTTTTTAAATGTTCAAAATAAAATAGGGAGATGGGTCCAAATATGTGATTCAAATATTTGTCCAAATATTCTGATAGTCAATACTTTTTCCATTTTATATTACGGAAATATTTTGATGCCTATAGATGTTATGTCTTAGATACAAAATCATTGTAATGCTCAGTGCCACTCAATTTTTTGAATTTCAGTAGAGACATTAGTGATTCAACAACTTTCTGACATTGCCTTATTCGAAAATACTCAAATCACAATATCTGAACATCTGGCTTCCCCCCCATTAGGTGTCTCCTAGTGACATTTTGAGAGATGAGAAGAGGGCTGCTATGTGTTCACACTCATGAGTGCTCGTAAGTGTGTAGACAGTGGCGGTTTGGGTGTATTTGACTGAAGATACAAACAATGTGAGGTCGCCACAAAGAACACAAAGAATAGAGGAATTGCTTCTTCAGCACAGCTTGCCTGCTGTATGAGTCTTTTCATGCTCCTGACAAAGACACCCAAGACTGGGTAATTTACAAGAGCAAGAGATTTAATGGACTTTACATGTCTATGTGGCTGGGGAGGTCTCACCATCATGGCAGGAGGTGAAAGGCACGTTTCACAGGGAAGCAGACAAGAGCAGAAAGCTTGTGTAGGGAAACTCCCCTTTTTAAAACCATCGGATCTCATGAGACTTACTCACTATCACAAGAACAGCACAGGAAACACCTGCCCCCCCTGATTCAATTACCCCAACTGGGTGCCTCCTGCAGAATGTGGGAATTCAAGATGAGATTTGGGTGGAGATGAAACCACCTTTTCAAAATGATGACTGAGACAGTGAAAGAGATCTAACTTAACCGACTCCATCTTGCTTCTAACCTCCAAGCTGTCCTTGTTCATTCCTGGGCATAGGCTGAACTAACCTGGGGGAAAACTTCGTTTATAGTTTGAAACAAAGACGATAACAGCCCTTTACCAAAGCAGACCTCCTCGTCTGAGGACTAGACTGCCTTCGTAGGACTAACATTAGTCACAAGATTCGAAATTCTGGTTTAGGAGCCATGCAGCTGGAGGACACGATTCTGACCCTCCCTACACGGCTCCCAAGATCAGAGCTCGAGATATTCTGCAGACGCTGCACCTGATGGATCAGCTGGCACCACCCGGATCGATAACCTGGCTGGTCCGATCTCGTGACCCGGACCCAGGAACTGACTCCGCAGGAACACAGCTCTGACTCCCCGGGATTTCATCCCTGACCAGTGAGCACCCCGGTCCCTGGCTTCCCCACCCAGCAAGTTTTCCTTAAAACCTGCTCCTCCAATGCTCAGGGAGACTGATCTGAGTGATAAGGAAACTCCGGCCTCCCGCACAGCCGCCTCTGTGTGAATTACTCGCTCTCTCTTGCAGTTCCCCAGCCTTGATAAATCAGCTCTGCCTAGGCAGCAGGCAAGGTAGAACCTCTTGGGTGGCCCCAGGGACAGAGCCAAACCATATCATTCCACCCCTGACCCCTCCCAAATCTCATGTCCTCACATTTCAAAAACAATTACGCCTTCTCAACAGTCTCCCAAAGTCTTAACTCATCTCAGCATTAACTCAAAATCCACAGTCCAAATTCTCATCTGAGACAAGGCAAGTCCCCTCTGCCTATGAGCCCGTAAAATCAAAAGCAAGTTAGTTACTTCCTAGATACAATGGGTGTTGAAGGGAGAAGAAAGATCAGACTGTTACTGTGTCTATGTAGAAAGGGAAGACATAAGAAATTTCATTTTAACCTGTACCTTGAACAATTGCCTTGCCCTGAGATGCTGTTAATCTGTAACTTTGCCCCAGCCACTTTGCCCCAACTTTGAGCTCACAAAAACGTGTTGTATGGAATCAAGGTTTAAGGGATCTAGGGCTGTGCAAGACATGCCTTGTTAACAAAATGTTTACAAGCAGTATGCTTGGTAAAAGTCATCACCATTCTCTAGTCTCAATAAACCAGGGGCACAATGCACTGTGGAAAGGCACAGGGACCTCTGCCCTGGAAAGCCGGGTATCGTCCAAGCTTTCTCCCCATGTGATAGTCTGAAATATGGCCTTGTGGGATGAGAAAGACCTGACCATCCCCCAGCCTGACACCCGTAAAGGGTCTGTGCTGAGGTGGATTAGTAAAAGAGGAAAGCCTCTTGCAGTTGAGATACAGGAAGGCCACTGTCTCCTGCCTGCCCCTGGGAACTGAATGTCTTGGTATAAAACCCAATTGTACATTTGTTCAATTCTGAGATAGGAGAAAAACCGCCCTATGGCGGGAGGTAAGACATGTTGGCAGCAATGCCGCTTTGTTATTCTTTACTCCACTGAGATGTTTGGGCAGAAAGAAACATAAATCTGGCCTACGTGCACATCTAGGCATAGTACCTCCCCTTGAACTTAATTATGACACAGATTCTTTTGCTCACATGTTTTTTTCCTGACCTTCTCCTTATTATCACCCTGCTCTCCTACCGCGTTCCTCTTGCTGAGATACTGAAAATAATAATAAAAACTGAGGGAACTCAGAGACCGGTGCCAGTGCAGGTCCTTGGTATGCTGAGTGCCAGTCTCCTGGGCCCACTGTTGTTTCTCTATACTTTGTCTCCGTGTCTTTCTCAGTGTCGTGTCCCACTTGATGAGATATACCCACAGGTGTGGAGGGGCAGGCCACCCCTTCATCTGCCACCCTGCGTGGGTGCCTTTCTCTAGGGTGAAGGTACGCTAAGAACGTGAGCATTGAGGACAGCCGATGAGAGATTCCCGAGTGTATGTCCACGGTCAGCCTTGCGGTAAGCTTGTGCGCTCGGAGGAACCCAGGGTAACAATGGGAAAAACTGAAAGTAAATATGCCTCTTATCTCAGCTTTATTAAAATTCTCTTAAGAAAAGGGAGAGTTAAAGCTTCTATAGAAAATCTAATTACTCTATTTCAAACAATAGAACAATTCTGCCTATGGTTTCCAGAACAGGGAACTTTAGATCTAAAAGATTGGGAAGAAACTGGCAAAGAATTAAAATAAGCAAGTAGGGAAAGTAAAATCATTCCGCTTACAGTGTGGAATGATTAAGCCATTATTAAAGCAACTTTAGAACCGTTTCAAACAGGAGAAGATAGCATTTCAGTTTCTGATGCCCCTGAAAGCTGTGTAATAGATTGTGAAGAGGCAGGGACAGAGTTCAAGAAAGGAGCGGAAAGTTCACATTGTAAATATGTAGCAGAGTCTGTAATGACTCAGTCAACGCAAAATGTGGACTACAATCAATTATAGGAGTTAATAGATCCTGAAACATTAAAATTAAAAAGAAAATTCCAGAACCATCGGGGCCGTTGGGGCTAAAACCACGATGGTCACCTCCTCAGCCGAGTGAGTGCTGGAGGAGGGAGCCTGAGCCCGCACTCAGTATTGCCCGACCTGCAGTTCACTACGGTGAGGGAGCAATTCGGACTCGCCCTGCAGCGTCCTGTCTGGGTCAAAGAGTGGCTGCTTCCTAAGGAAAAGTTGGGGACGCTACATGAAATGGTTAACTATTTTAAAAAGGACATGCTTCACCCCCTTTCTCTCTTTAGAATTCTCCAGTGTTTGTAATTCAGAAAAAGTCCGGTAGATGGCGCATGCTGACTGACTTAAGAGCCGTTAACGCGGTAATTCAACCCATGGGGCTCTCCGACCCGGGCTGCCCTCTCCAGCCATGATCCCCAAAGATTGGCCCTTAATTATAATTGATCTGAAGAATTGCTTTTTTACCATTCCTCTGGCAAAACAGGATTTTGAAAAATTTGCTTTTACTATACCGGCCATAAATGATAAAGAACCAGCCACCAGGTTTCAGTGGAAAGTGTTGCCTCAGGGAATACTTAAGAGCCCAGCTATTTGTCAGACTTTTGCAGCTCAAGTTCTTCAGCCAGTTAGAGACGGGTTTTCAGACTGTTACATCATTCGTTATGTTGGTGATATTTTGTGTGCTGCAGCAACGAGAGACAAATTAATTGACTGTTACACATTTCTGCAGACAGAGGGTGCAAACCCGGGACTGACAATAGCATCTGGTAAGATTCAGACCTCCACTCCTTTTCATTACTTGGGAATGCAGGTAGAGGAAAGGAAAATTAAACCACAAAAAATAAAAATAAGAAAAGACATATTAAAAACATTAAATGACTTCCGAAAATTGCCAGGAGATATTAATTGGATTCAGCCAACTGTAGGCATCCCTACTTATGCCATGTCAAATTTGTTCTCTATCTTGAGAGGGGATCCACAATTGAATAGTAAAAGAACATTAACTCCAGAGGCAACTAAAGAAATTGAATTAGTTGAAGAAAAAATTCGGTCAGCAAAAGTAAATAGAATAGATCACTTGGCCCCACTT